CACCTCTCCCTGGCAGTAAAAATACAATAGCAATGTATTAAATCACTACCATTTTCTCATAACATCCAACCTCAGGTGCCTAGAAACCGAAGCCTCTAACTAATGCTAGAGCCAGCCAACCCTGGATTCTCTGAGAGCCTATGGGGAGTTTCTCAAGGAGAAAATTAGTAATAATGCATAAGCTTCCCTGACAGAAAGAAAAAAATCCCACTAATTGCCGACTTCTTTCTGCAAGAGGCGATACAAGAAAGTTTTGGGAAACGGTCCGTATGAGCTATGCGCCATAGAATATTCTGCAACGTACAGGTTTCCTTCCGTGGCAAGGCATGGCTCCATAGAAACAATTTTGTTTACATTTTCATACGCGGATTTATTTGTAAATATTTTTCTATGTACATATATGTATATGACAAAAGAGCCTTGTGGAATTTTAACAAACGTATTATGGCATCGGCTTTTTGTGGACTTCATCAGACACTGTGGTTCTGAAAGTTTGCAAAAAGCTGATGCCTTAATTAATGTAGTCGCTCTTACAGGAGCCTTTGTAGTTCTGGCCTTCTGGTAATTTAGATGTATAAATGCAAATTTAGAATTTAGATGTCACAACTAATCTTCCGTCCAAATCACCCCAGATAAACACTTCAATTAATTTGCGCCGCATCCCAAATCACCCTCTCTAATCAGTTCCCCTTTCATTCATTTCTCCCTAATTAACTTCCCCAAAGACCCTGCTCAAAATCAGTTCAGTTCCCCTTCATTTATTCCCTTCATTATCCCAAATCATCTCTAGATAAAGCCATCTGAAATTAATTTATTGCGCCCAAATTAATATCCTGCTCAGCAATCCAGAACATTGCCAATTCGATTCCTCCTGAATTCATTGCCAACCCAGAAACACTTGGGGAACTCAGAAAAATATTTGGGGGTCTCTGCCCTAAATGCCCCCACACAGCAATGCCTGTGTGCTCAAAGGTTCATTGGGAAGGGTTCTCTAAGGATACACCATTTGAAAACAGCTCCTCTGGAGGGTGGGGATCAGTGGTGAGGTTGGGATTGTGAATTACGGTATGTGGGGAGCCAATGGTGAAATTGGTGACTGATGGTAATCTGTGCAGGGAGGTTTTGGAGCCTGGAGTCAGCACTATGGAGAGTGGAGGGCTGGAATTAAGTAGTAATAATCAATAGCACTTCTGAGCACATGCAGAGTGTCTTTTGCACCCCTGAGAGACCAGGGCATGCACCAACACATCTGAGAACGCAGAAGGCTTGTTTCTTGGAAGAGGGCTGCTTATTTTCTTATTTTGCAGCTTTGTTAATTTTAGAACTAGTAAAGTAAATAAATACATCTTTGGGGAAATACTCTTAGTCTTAGAACATATTTGAAAGCAGCGCAAGGATGAACATTATCATTAAACCTATTATTCCAAAACATTGCAAACCTGCCCCCCCTCCTTATTTTTTCCACGAGCCTATTAGATTGGTCTATATGTATTCTTTTGCAATAAGTTAATTTAAACATTATAGACCAGCTTCTCCCCCCCCCCTTTCACATATAGCAGGAGATACACTGGAGAGATGCTTATTTTCAAAACCAAAAAGTGCCCAAGCAGACATTATCTCTAAACCCAGATGTGTGAGTTGTTTTCCCCCTTCTTCCTCCAGTTAATAATTTTCCGTATATTTCCTCTCTCACTTAGCCAACGTAATTGGGGAGATTCCAAAAAAAGGGGGGGGGGAGTTGCTGTTCATCTCCTTGGTCAGAGTCCTTCAAGGTCCCTGATGCTATTTAGCATCTACATGAAACGATTGGGAGAGGCTGCCCAGGAATTTGGGGACTCACAAGCCAAGACGTAGGCTGTGTACACATAAAGCACATGACTTAAAAAGAGCCCTGATAGTGGCTCATCTAGTCCTTCACTGAATTTTTAGCGCCACACTGAAATTTGAGAGCCCCAGGTCCACCGTTGCCATCATGTCTAGCAGATCCCCCCCCCCCAAGAATCCTAGGAAATGTAGTTTAAGGGTGCTGGGAATTGTAGTTCCGCGAGGGGCAAACTACAGGTCCCAGGATTCTTTTGTGGGGGGGGGGAACCATGTGCTTTGAATATGCTTTAGATGTTGGGTGTGTACATAGCCTTTCTTCTTCTTCTTCTTCTTTGGCGATCACTTGGAGCCGAGTAAGATTGTCTTCCATAAACACAGTTTTAACAATGAGTCCAGAAGTGACTGTGGAGGCCAATCCACACGTCCTTCCACAGTGGGGACATTGGTTTCTGGGTGGGAGTTGATCACAGTGTGGATTTGCCAAACTGTGCCTTCCTCTTAGCACATTTCTCCCTTGCGTCCCGAGTTCGAGTGTCTTCAAAGCCCATTACACCTTTGGTCAAGGCTGTTCTCCAACTGGAGTGCTCGCAGGCCAGTGTTTCCCAGTTGTCGCTATTTACACTACATTTTTTTTAGATTTGCCTTGAGACAGTCTTTGAACCTCTTTTGTTGACCACCAGCATTACGCTTCCCATTTTTAAGTTCGAAATAGAGTAGTTGCTTTGGAAGACGATCATCAGGTACAACATGACCAGTCCAACGAAGTTGATGTTGAAGAATCATTGCTTCGACACTGGTGATCTTTGCTTCTTCCAGTGCACTGATATTAGTTCGCCTTAATCTAGCGGACAATGCAGAAGGGATATCTGTTGAGGAGCAGGAGAGAGATTTCAGGATTAGGCATGCGGCTGGTTCTAGACAGGACCACACAGTCATCTTCTGGAAGAGTTCAGGCTTGCAGGCTGGAGCCATCGCAACTCTTGGGACATCCTGGTTGCAGCTATGTCTGGGAGCAGAGCTGGATTTAGGTTTGATGAGGCCCTCAGCTACTGAAGGTAATGGGGCCCTTTATATGTCCAGCTGTGCTTTGTCAATAACAAATTGTCGCTGTTTTTTGTGTTTAATATATGCTATATGGTAGTTTATGGACCTAATAGGTTTCTAACACCATTTGCACGTAACAAAATATATACTTTTTCAAAGTAATTGTTGAACTGAAATACAATTAAGAAATATATTAATAGTGAAGTACAGGTGGGGCCCATTACTTACATCACAGGAGCCTACACAACACAAAACACTATTGCTGTATGTAGGTTTGCTTTTTTATGTTATATTTTGGAAATGTACACCCAGGTTTTTTTCCCCTTTAATTTTTTTGGGGCCCCCAAGAGAGTGGGGCCCTAAGCTATAGCGTGTTTAGCTTATACGTAAATCCGGCAGTGTCTAGGAGTGAATTTGCACAGCACTGGTTAACATGCCAGCTAAAATGTACCCTTTTACTGGAACAAACAACTTCGGTCTCTGCTGCTCGTGCCTTGATCGCATCCAGATTAGATTACTACATTGCATCTGCGTGGGGACGGTCTTTGAAAAGTTTCCACAAACCTCAGCCAGAGAATTGACTGCGGTTTGCGAAACTTCTGTTCAATTTGCATTGGCTTCAGTGCTCAGTTTGAAGCGCTGCTATGAAGCTCTAAAACTGTCTGGGACCAGGCGATTTGACAGGGGGCCCCTCTTCCGCCAGCCTGAACCTGCTCACCCCTTGCATGCAAAATCTGAGGCTTTGATCCAGGCCAAGATTGTTCCTCAGGGCCTTCTTGGTTGTGGTGCCTGGAGCATGGAACTCAAGCTCAACTGGCTTCCCTCCCTTCATGGCTTCCCAGCCACCTGTAAAAAATGAGCCAAGTTCTTGGTTTGATCTGAATTTTCTTCTTCCTCTTGCTACGAATGCATTTTTCAATTTTCTTCCACTTTTAATTTTACTTCTGGATGCGATTGGAGTTTTTTTACTTGACTGCTTATGTGAACTGCTTTGAGCACAGATGTATTTATGGAAACTCCGGTATATAAATAAATTGCGGCTATTATTACCATGACCATTGCTTTGTTACAGCTATACTGTATATTTCACTATTTGGGGTTGTTGCTGTTGTTTAATTCCAAACTGCCTTGGAGACCCATTTGAGCAAAAAGAGGAGGTAAAAATACTTAGATAGGTAAATAGGCTGTATAAAGCAATATTAATTTCTGGAGTGGCAGCACCCTGCCCCCAAGAATCTTTGGCACCTGAAAGACTAGATTTATTGTCATAAGATTCCATGTGTTTCATTACAGCACACAAAGCATCAGCTTGAGTGACAGCTTTATGCATCAAGAAAAGAACGACACTCTGCACTTGCTCAGAGGTCCTCTCTTCTTATTTCTAGGTCTCAATCTCAGCGCTTAAAAGTGGATAGGCAAGGGGAAGTATAACTTCATTTGTATTTTAAGGGGATATGATATTGTTGTTATATTGTAATGTAACTATAGGAGCAGGAATTGATAAATTGACAGCTGGTGGATAATGGGAAATAAAAAATAATACAAATTTAAAAATAATTGCAAATTGTATATATGGACTGAAATGTGAGTTAAGAGATAAATATGGAATATTTATGCAAAGGGAAAAACTAGGGACGCATCTAGGAAGAGGAAACTATTTTGCCAATTTTTTATTAAATTTGATTTAATTTGGCACTCATCTGTTTAAAAATTAGAAAACTAATAAATATTATCTGGCAAAAAAAGAGAGGCTCCGGGCCTGAAATCCGGGTCCAACGAAGTCCTGCGCAAAGGAGAGCTGAGACCCAGCATCTCGCTTTTTAGACACCAAGCCCCGAGGGAGAGGGGCGAGCGTAGGTGGGTGGGGGGCAGATCTCGGCGCGTAAAAGCGAGACGGCGGAGTGACGGCAACCCCCTTTACCTGGGAGTAAGCTCCGTTGAATTCAACAGGGCTTACTTCCGAGGAGAGGGGGCTCGGATTGCGCGCCGAGCTGGCGACCGTCTCCCCTCCGGCCTCCGCCGGCTGGGGAGCCGCTCGCTCGCTCTCCCGCAGACCCGGGGGGCGCGGCTGGGGCTGGCGCTGAGCCGCTGGGGGCGGGCCGGGGGGCGGGCCGTCTCGCCGGGCCGGAGGGGGCGAGCTGGCGGCAGCGGCTGGGGTGCCGGAGTCGGTCGCTGCAGCTCCTCTCGGACGCACCAAAGGCGCACCATGGGCTCCGCTCGCTCCCCGACGGCGCTCCCTCTGCGCGGCCTCGTGCTGCGGCTCTTTCTGCTCGCCTGCTCAGGTAAGGGGGCCGGGGAAGACCCCCGATCGCGGCACTGGCGGCTGCGAAGGCTGCTTCTGCCAGCCGGGAATGGAAAGGGAAAGCGGGAGCCCGGGCGCGCGCGCCCCGGGGTGAGAAGAAAGAAAGAGACCGAGCGCAGCCGCGCCGGGAATGGCAGCGCAGCTCGCCCGGGATCTCCCTGCGCTTTCGGACACCCCCCTTCCCCAAAACACCTCTTTGCCCACCGAGGAAGCTTCCCCGGTCTTAATTCCTCTCCCTCCGCGGGTTTAAGCGTCGGATCCACCTGCTCTTCTCCGCAAGTCCCTCCCTTCCCAAGTTTCTGGCAACTTTTACGCGTCCGCGGGAGGAAGGATTTGGTGGCGAAGAGGGGTGGGGGGTCGCCTTGCACCTGCGATCTGCCCCCCCTATTTTTGGAAGCAGCCAGCCTGCCACCTCGCCCCGCAGAAAGGTCTCTTTTCTTTCTCCGTGCTTTGCGTTTTGTGGGGGATGATCCTTCTTTTCTACCCGATCCCTTTTAGCCAACCACCTTTCGGGACCAGGAAAGGCGCCATGCGTTCTCTTCTCCAATCCCAGGGAAGAGAGAGCCCCAAATGAATGGGGCGGGGTGGTGGGGTTGGCGGTGGCCAGGTTCAGTTCTAGGGGAGGTGGAGAGGACGGGGGGGGGGGAAACCTAGTAGATCAGGGTGGGGTGCAGGGACTGGGAATAGTTCTCTGTGTTACTGGATAGGTAGCTCTTCTTTGCAAGGAATTCAGCTTAGTAGTTGGAAAAGTCTGGGGTTGGGGTGTAAGCGTCTCCTAATGGGGACCAGTCAAAGACCCCATCTTTGCCTTCTCCATCCTCCCCTCTGACACCGCCCGCATTCTGCACCACCTCTCCAGTTAATATGCCACAGAGCCCCTTGGCAAGATCTAGGATCCCCCTTGGGGTCACCGCAACTTAAAGCGTGTGACCCCCCTTCTTTCTCCCCCACCACCACCCAACTCTCTGCGCTTCCACCTTCCCAGGACTGCTGCTGTTCCCTGCTCCCCACCCCCACCCCACTCATATCCTCCCCATCCTCTCTTGGCACCGATCCTCGTTTCCTGGCACTCTTTCTTGCTCAGCGGTGACTTGACCGTTCTTAAGTGACTCATGGGCAGGGTGAGGTGATTTGGAACGTAATTAAGGGAGGAAAAATAATGTGCGAGTTCCTTACCCCCCCCTCAAATACATAAGAGGAACTGTGGAGAAGGGTGCCATCCTGGACTCAGTCGCACCTCTTTTCGTCCCCACACACACGCATCAGATGGTGCTATTTTATTCTAGGCTAATTTAACCTGGAATAAATCCTGAAGCCCGGTTCTGTGCACATTCTTGCTCGCTTGTTGTAGGAAGCTTGCATTTAAAAATCCCAACCTTAAAACCTCAGCCATCTGGATTATGAAAGGTGTTTAGTCCTTATCATCTCAAAAAAAGCTGTTTTGAGTGCTAAGCCTGAGTGCTCTCTGGAGCATGAGGATTAATACAAAAGAGTGCCTCTGGGCATGTGCAGAGTTAAAAAAAAAATCTAAGGAACCGCTCAGCCCACCTTTACATATTTGGGATTAGGACACTGAGCTCAGAGGTTGTGGCTTTTACACAGGGGTGAGATCCAGCACCTCTAATTCTTGCTACTTGAAAAAAATAAACCAAAAACTACAACCCAGCTTTCAGTCCTCCTCATTGGAACTGTAGCAAAGAATGGCTCTAGCGGCCTGAGATTCAGAAACCAAGCTCCGCAGAGCCTTTTCGCTTGGGTTCAAAGTTACCCCTCAAGTACACTTTCCTCCCCCACTCCCTTTCAAATCATTTTGGGACCCCCTTTCTCTCAGGACACCGGGTTTTGCCCCACCCTGCCAACCCCCCCTGAGTCATGACCCCCTCGCGCTGGATTTTGTAGATGCTAGAGGCTGGCACACAGGGGAGGATGTTTATACAATCTGCTCTTAGGGAGGCGGATGGGCTCAGATGCTGGAATGGTACTGGGTTGGGTGTGGAGGGCTCTGCTGGAATGAGGCAGGGGGTGCCCAGAAGAGTGGAGGAGGAGGAGGAGGAGGAGGAGGTGTAACTCGGTTGTAAGTCTCCCCCAGTCCCCTTCCCCCAGCTTGGAGTACTGGGAGGGATGCTCTTACCCAAACAAGACCCAGCTCGTTGTTTGCTCAGCCCCAGCCTCTTTGCATTCCTGGTCCCCTGCGTTAGCTTTTCCCAGCCTCCTGGGCTCTTCAAGAACCGCTCCCTTTACCCCTCCGAGCAGTGGCTGAGATTGCTGCTCCAAGGCAGCTCTGCCTCACCGCAGGCGGAGGCAACAACAAGCACCTTGGGAGAGGATTTTGGGGGGTGTCCCTCTAGTCCCCCCCTTCTTGAAACCTTCCCATCCAGAGCACCCTTTAGAAAAGGAGGTGTTCTGAGACTTGAGCCCCTGTGAAAACCACATATCCGATTATTATCAGTTGGTAAGCCTCTTTTATGGCAGGCCCCTTTAAGAACCCATTTTGTAAAGTGCTTAATTCATCTGATCCTGGCGAGCTCAGCTTGGGCATCCTTCATAATCTTGAAGTCTTTTCTCCAGGCCCAGAAGTATGAGATCAGGGTGGCTCTCCTGGTTTCCTGACTGGTGGGGAGGAAAAAAAGAGAAGTCACTCTGCACATGCTCACTACAGCCATCGCCACCATGTTCCAGAATTGAATCTTGGCTGAGATTTCAGTTCTCACGCAGCCCCTCTTTAGGCGTATCCTCCTCCTCCTCCTTCAAAGATTTTTACCCTTTTTGTGTACATAAGAGCCACGAAAATCAATAAATTACAGCAATTAAAGCCTCTCCAGGTACAATTTCAGCAACTACAGCAGCCAGAACATTAAAAAAGGAGGGCAGAGAAGTCAATATCGATAGCAAATGCCAGGATAAACAGAAAGGTCTTTAACTGCCTGGGAAAGCAGCCCATTGCCACGGCTTTGCTGATTTCCATTGGTAGCTCATCTGCAAAACGGGTGCCACCACAGATAAGGCCATCCTCTGAACCCCTGGCCAACCAGGCTTCAGGAAACGGGGGTCCGGTCTGGAGGGCTTCACGCATAGATCACCCTGAGCTGCGTTGGGAAAGGTGATCTTGGAGAGAGCCTTGTCCCAAACTCTTTCAGATCTTTATAGGTCAAAACACGCACCTTAAATTGGATGTGTGGCAGCTAGCTGGCAGCCACGCCCTGGGTGGCATAATGTGTACTGGGCACGATTCCTGGTTTCTCTTATCTGCGTTCGCAGCTTCAAATGACAAGGGACCGAGATAAGGAGTTTCATTTACTTCAGTTTAAATTAATATCGGCAACTGCCTTTTGGATTTAAGGCTGCATTTTAAGAGAGCGTGTGTGTGTTTTATTAATGCATGCTGTCTTAGTGGTGTAGCTGAAAAGTGGGATATTTATTACATATTACATGAATATATACTTTTTAAAACAAATATCTTATTGTATAAAATGGGAGGCATTAACTAAGAGTTCCAAATGCAATGCTATATGTTTAAAATGCATTAGTTGCTTGTGACACCCATGATAAATCTCCTCGCACTCTGCTAATGGTGAGCATCAAGGAGCTGTGCGGACAGAGGTGTGGCATCAGCGCATGGGGTGGAGGAGGGTTTTATCTAGTCCCCTGATTACTAATGGGGTGCAGATGTGCTGTGAAATCATCCCCAGCTACTGTGTAGAAGCAGTGCAGATGGCCAGCTCCCCATGTGGCCGTAGATCTGCCCTAATAAGTCCCCACTTGCTGAATTGAGGTGGTTAAAGAGGTAAGGAGATTTGATTTCTTGCAGATGCAGGGGTCCCTGTCCTTGTTAATGGGGATGAGGGGCAGGATAAAGGGAGGAGAATAAAGAAACCGCAAAGCTCAAAAGCGAGATGCAGAAATCGGGTGTCGTGTTCTCCAGCAGTGCGCTCATACAAGCCTAAACGGGCTCCTCGATTGTGGTGCGTGTAGCATCCTGGAAGAAGCCTTGAGCCCTTGAGGGGGCAGTTGTTTTTGCTCCTGCTGCTTCATTTTTTAAGCCTGCAGTTTATAGCTGATGCGTTGTTTTTACGCCGTTGCGTTTTTATGACGGTTTTGGTGGGTGGGTTTGAACTGTGGATTCCTAACATTCTTACGGGAAGGCAGCATAAATAAATTGTTGTGGGAATTTCTGGTTTGCTTTTTTAAAAACTGAGTTTCTAGTCCTCCTGGAAGTGGAGAAAATTTTAAGAGTCGAAGGAGGAACTAGCTTGCAATTGGCTTCTCAGTAGCTATTTTCTTGCTTTCTTTATGCTGCTTCTCCTTTCTAGAAGTAGCTGCTCTCCTTACCCCGAACCCCACAATTCAGTCACTCTGTCTTGTGACCAGTGCCTCTCCTCGCCTATAGTTTGGAAGTAAAGAGTGGAGAAAGAAAATGAGATTTGCAACCCAGTTTGTTTGTTCTGAAGTGAGTCCCCTGTGCTCAGTGAAACGTATTCCCAGGTAAATGTGCGTAGAACTGCAGCCTGCGTGTCTATTTTGGTTCTCAAGAGGATGGAAAGTTAGGAGTCAGATACCAAGCTGACAGATCTCTGCCTGGGGAGATGGTGGCGCTTGGATTCTGCGAGATGCCTCTTCCAGGCTCAGCCTCAGGGCATTGTGAATGAGACCGGTGTGAGCCTGCTGCCTTTTGCCCAGCCCATGTGTGTGACATTTGAGGTGTGAAAATTGCCTTGGCTCTCTGCGTAGGGAAACAAGACTCGGAGCAGCTTTCCACAAGTGGCATGAAGGATGCTAGAAATAATTGCCTCTGCATGGGAGCCGTGCATGGAGCACACCGTGTCCTGCTGGGAGCTGCAAGCAGAGTGCATGCATGGCCACATTTGCACCAACTGTTGAAAGTGCTATGATACCACTTTAAACTCCGGGAGCTGCAGTTTGTTAGGGGCACCGAGATTTGTCAGGAGACCCCTGTTCCCCTCCCAGAGCTACAATTCCCAGAGAGGTTTTAACTGTCAATCCCTCTACACAGTGAACTTTGGGAACTGTATCTCCCTGAGGGGAACAAGCTATAACAAATGGCAACTCCCAGAATCCTTTGGGGGGAACCCATGGCTGCTTAAAGCCCTTTAAACATGGTGTGCATGGGGCCTGTGTGTGGCAGCGAGGGGTCAGGCAGTCGTGGCGGCTCTTCCACACAAACAGCTTGCCTCGTGGGTTGACCCTTGCGCCCAAAGAAGCCCGGAGCTCGCCCGGGTGCCGCAGGCCTGTCATGGCTCCCTCGGCGACGGGGCTACGTTTTTGTCCGTTTGGGGGCACCTCTCGCTCCTTTTCCAAATCCTGCCCGCTTGCTTCATATCCGCACAAACGCTCTCCCTTGCCAGAGAGAAAATGTGCCTGCCAGGAGGCGGCTAAGCGGTGCCCGTGACAGAATATGCCGCTCTTGTGTGCCAGCCGTGGCACTCACAGTGCCATGCTGCCAACTCTGGGCTCTCTTCCTCCACCTTCTCCCCCTCGGCCTGATTCCCTGATAACATCTCTTATATCCCTGAGCCAAAGAGAGGGAAGACAACCGGTCTGGCCACTTCAAGGGGCCCTCAGATCCCAGAGCAGCGGCTGGGGGCTGGGCGGCTGTCCTTGCAGAAGGGGATGTTGCCAAATCCGCCCTTCAGGCCTACCTAAGGGGGCAGCGCCCCGTCCCCTATTCCCTTGGCAACCGTCCTCTGCTTTGTTCCCCTGCCTTTCCCATCAAGGCCTCTCAAAGCCCCTTTATGCGGCGGCTTCTGTGGTTTCAGGTGTGTTGAGGCCTGTTCCGTCCCACAAGGAACGCCTTTCATTGAAAGGCACCTGCCCGGCTTCCTTCCTCCCTGGGGCAAGGCCTGTTTTCGTTCCCCTGCTGTCTTTCTCTGCCTCTCCCTTCCCGACGCCCATTTCTCTTTCTTTCCCCCTCCGTTTCTCTTGCTCTGCCTGACTCCTTCTTCGCCCGTCCATCCCCTTCGCCGCATTGTGTTTATCTGACCAAGCGTGTAAACTTCTCTTCAAATCGCAGGCTAGAAATTAATGTGCGTGATTCCTCCCCTTCAAACACACGCGCGTGCATCCGTGGAAGAGCCTGGGCAAAGATTGCACGGTAAACTCAGTCAGAAAGGACACTTGACTTGTGTATTTTGACTTCTGGAGCGCTTTTATGCACACGCTGGGCTTTGTGTTCTGCTTCTTCTAAGTAGCCATGCTGTCGCAGGGAACCCCGGAGTCCTGGAAATCCTGTTCCCAGACCTATGGTCTAAAGGCTCTGCTAGAAATTGACCCTGGAACCTTTTATTTTAAAACGCCAAGGCTATATGTGGAGACAGGTGTCTCTGAGCACGTGCAGAGTGCCTTTATCTTTCTGGTGATTATCCATAGCTTGCAGGTTTTGCAAGGTTTCTGGAGCCGTGGTTGATAAGCGGTCTGAAGCCACCGCACAGAAATATTTGGGTTGTCTTCTCAGAGCTGGGGAAGTAACCCAGGAGTTCTGGCTTTGATTTTTTTCCGCTTGGAGCACCCCTTCTCCTTGCTCCTCCTCCTGCTCTCAAATTCCTGAAAGTTCCCTCTTCCTTTGCTCTGTTTGGCAGCTCCCACACCAGGCAAACTCCACTTCTCCCCCATGTTAATTAGCTGGCTTCATTAAGCGTGTCTGCAGGCGCCCCAGCCCGGCTGGGATGCTGAGCTGATGCCTTGCTCTCATCGCTGCCCTGGGAGCCAGGGAGATAAACAATGTGCCCAGCAGCACCGCCTTCCCTTTCATCCTTAGACTGGCACTGAGGGGTGGGGTGGGGGGGAGAAAGCTCATAAAGTCCTTGCTCTAGCACCAGCTTGTGGTTATTTCTAGACCCCGGGGCTTTTTTTAGCTCCTCTGGGGATTTGGGGCTAGTCCCCCCAGGCAGCTCTGGGCTGGATCTATTCATAGCTGGGCATTTGGTCTGTGGGAGCTGGGAAAGAAAGCGTCCCTCGCTGTCATTTGCTCTGAACGTGGCGCTGAAGAGCAAAGGAACTGTGTCGGATTCCAGGCCCCTTGCTCCCACCCTCTGGAATCCATGTGCCGAACATAGCAGGAACCCGCGCGCATGCATGCTACCTGGCATGCCCCGGATCCGCGGGAAAGCTGCGCCACGGGACTTTGTGTGCGCATGCAAACCGCAGGAGAGTCTGTGGTGCAGACACGCATGTTGCTACATGTACTTAGAAACACGCTTAGGTATGTGCCACAGGGGACGTTTGCCGTGGGTGTGTGCATGTTCTGCGCTTGATTTTTAAAAAGCAAAAGCTCTTCCAAGGCAATCTGGATTCTGCAAGAGGATGAGCTGAATTCTGCGACCTGTGTACATTATACACATTAAGTAAATCTTAATCCCCGCTTCCCCGAGCTTGCAGAATTTACTTTGCAGAATTGTGCTTATGTCACACAGAGGAAGAGAAATCGTCCAGGCGCTGAAATTTACAACACATTAAAACGTGAAATAAAACAACCCGGAACAAAACAAATTCAAGCTACCAGGAAAATATTTCAGATCCTTCTTAATAATAATAATAATAATAATAATAATTTATTATTTATACCCCGCCCATCTAGCTGGGCTTCCCCAGCCACTCTGGGCGGCTTACAACAAAATATTAAAATACAGTAATGCATCAAACATTAAAAGCTTCCCTAAACAGGGATGCCTTCTAGATGTCTTCTAAAAGTTTGGTAGTTGTTGTTCTCTTTGACATCTGGTGGGAGGGCGTTCCACAGGGCGGGTGCCACTACCGAGAAGGCCCTCTGCCTGGTTCCCTGTAACTTAACTTCTTTAAGTGACATGTTGCTTTCTCCCTATTTATTTAACTACTTATCTTATAGAGCTGCCCCATAGCAGAAGGACTCTCGGAAGGCAATGTGGGGTAGTGGTTAGAGTGTCGGACTCGGACCTGGGAGATCAGCGTTCAAATCCCCACTCAGTCATGGCGCTCATGGAGTCAGTCACAGCCTCTTGGGTCAGGGTCGTTGTGGGGGATTAACCGAGGAGAGGGACAAACCACGTACCCCTTGGGGAAAAAGGTGGGAGATAAATTCAATGAATAAGTTCTTCTGCTTACCTGCTTAAGATAGTCGGAAGGGCCAGCCAGATGGAGATGTCAGTCGCCTGGCACCCAGAGATCTCCACGTGGTCGCAACTGGACCGGCACCAGTAGCAAATTGGATAATTTCTAACACCCCATCAGGACCAGTAGCTCTGATGCTGCAATGCCGGAGGCTGCATCCAGAATTTCTTGGTTGCCCATGCTGTCAGGAAGGGAGTCCCCAAACCTCCTCTCTTCTTGCTAAGTGAACTTCTCTAAGCCTGCTTTGTGCAGCAGCTGTTGCTAAGTAAACGAGGGAACTCGCTATCTCCAGCCGTCCATCCAGCCTCCCCTTGACCTTCTGCCATCTAGTCAAGATGTTTCTCTTCCAACATGCATCTGGCCTCTCAGGTTCAATTTTTTAGCAGATCGACCTCTTTATTTGCACCGCTTTTCTACACTGCTCCTTTTTCTTGTTTTATTGATCGCCAACAAGTTACAAATTGATTTTGCAGTTTTTTGAAACTGTTGTTAGCTACTCTGCGATTGCAACAGAAAATCAGCTGAAATAAAAACGAGCCAAAGGATAAATATGAATATTGCAATATGTTTTTGTGCCGAAGCTGGGCATCCTTCCTAACTGGCGCTGTTAGGGCTAGGGTGATGGTGAGAATTGCTCCTCTGGTGAGAATTTGCCCTTTTCCAGATCTGGTGTAACATTATAGACTTGATCATGTGTGTGTGGTGGGAGAGAATGGGCAGAAAAATGGAGGGATAGGTCTGTGCACTGCAAAACTGATTTCAGCTGCAGAACTGATTTCTTGCTTGTCCTTGGAATCATAGTGTTGTCGAGTTGGGAGGGACCCCAAGGTCATCTAGTCCAGCCGCCTGCAATGCAGCCGTCCCTGGGTGGGCTCGAACCGCCGACCTTCTGGTTAACAGCCAGACTCACTGACCCATGGCGCCTTTGCCTGCACATCTGGTTTCCTTACATACCACATCAAGCTTACTTTCCCTGTTTTGCTTCTAGGCTGTGTGTGTGTATATGTGTGCAAGCATAATATTATCGTTATTCTTGTTGTAAAAATCTTAATTTTATGGCAAGGAAATCTGGTTTCTGTAGAAGTGGAAATAAAAATCAGTTGATTTGCACCCATTTTTATTTTCAGTTCTACAGAAACCGGATTTTTATTTTTTTTAATTTATTTATTTTATTATTTCTTTAATGTGTATTCTGCCTTTCTCCCAAAGCAGGGCCCGAGAATAAATTAAGCAGATGCAACTTTAGAGTGGGGAAAAATCAAATAAGGAACCCTATTAAACAAATAAGTACAGTGGTACCTCAGGTTAAGTACTTAATTCGTTCTGGAGGTCCGTTCTTAACCTGAAACTGTTCTTAACCTGAGGTACCACTTTAGCTAATGGGGCCTCCCGCTGCTGCTGCACCGCCAGAGCACGATTTCTGTTCTCATCCTGAAGCAAAGTTCTTAACCTGAAGCACTGTTTCTGGGTTAGCGGAGTGTGTAACCTGAAGCGCATGTAACCTGAAGCGTATGTAACCCGAGGTACCACTGTAAATCGATTGTGCATTGTGTGATTGACGCAAAAAGATGCACATGCATGTCTTCATTTTTGTTTTCAAGGGCCCAGATATTCAAGGAATCATTTCATATTCTTTCAGAGAAATGATGGAGAGGCAGTATGGGACACGGGGGGGGGGGGGGGAGCCTGTAGGTTATCGTGGTTGGATGCTAGGAAAGAAAAAACAATGCGAGGGGGACTGAAGTTTGCCTCTTGATCTTTGGTACCTCTTCATATACTGCAAGGCCACGAGGGCTAGCCAGTTTTCTTTAACAAAGGAGGGAGTGAGACTTCCAGGGCGCCAAGTTTTGAGCTGGCTGCCCAGCGCTGCAGTTGCAAGCCCAAATCCCAGTGGCGCAGAAACGCCGCGTTCTTTCTGCTCCCATTAGTCCTTGGCTGCTCGTCTTCCTCTCGGTTCCTCCTCCTTCTCACTCGGTCCCCCCCCTGCTCTTCCTCCCCCCCTCCCTGTTTTTATTCCTTGGTTGTCCCTGGCTCCTTTTTCATGGCAGGCCACAGCTGTTCCCTGGGTCAGCGGCACCTGTTACTGTTTAATCAGCCTCCCCTTTCTCAGTAACTCCTTCGTCTCCGCCGCCACCCACCCCCCTCCGGGGACGACTTGGAACCCACAAGGCTAGCAAGGGAGATCCCTCCCTCTGGGGATCTGCAAATAGAGAACAGCCTGTGTGATCCACTTCTAGGACTTCATCAGGATCCTCCCCTTTTGCTCTTTTTGGAAGTGACTAAATAGCCGTGCTTCTCAAGTCGCTAGGAAGCATGACATAGAAACATGTGCATGGCCTCAGGGTATGTCCTTGGAATCCTTCACCTTTTCTCCTTCTGCCCCGTGTTTCTTCTTTTCCTTTCCAGAAGTGGTGCCTTTTGAAGATCAAACTGTTTCAGCAGGCCTTTGGCCTGATTGGCTGATGATCAGCGTTCGAAACTCCCGTTGTTCTAGGCGCATTTTGCGAGCGTCATCAGCGCGAGCGGTTTCTGAGCTCTGGGCGCAGTACTGCGTCTAAGATTTCAGATTAAAACTGCAGAGGGGAAGGAAAGGAGAACCTTTTTCTGCCTCCCCACTTCCAGCTACTCTCTGAAGACTGGAGAAGAGAGATTCTCTTAAGAATATTAGGGGGCTGGGCAGGGGAAGGACTAGACCATGTGAAAAATGAACACAATATTTTAGCTGCAGTTCATTCATTTTCAGCTTTGTATTCTTCTTTAAAAAAGTGCGCCTAGACATTCTTTTGTTGCGCCCATAACCTAGGTTTAAGCTGCCATTTAGCCCCTAGCTTTCATATCTCAATTTCTAACACTGATGATATATTTATTCCCTATGCCCCAAGATGTCTCTCTTATCTAAGTGGCTGGTTTGCATTTAATTTTTGTGGGGTTTGCCTGGTGCATATGTGTGTGAGAGAGAGAGGAAGAGAGAGAATTGTTCTGTACGCCATTCTGGGAAGTTGAGAAGCAGAAACAGACAGGCGACGAGACATCAATATTTTAAGTAAATAAATAAGCGTGCTGCTGGGCTCCCCATGGATGGGGCGTGCATCCTGCCTGACGGAGCTGTGTCCTAAATGCCTTTTCATGCTGTGACTGCATGTCAGCTACTTGTAGACATCTCCTGGCTATGCGTGTGGCGGGGACAGGAATCACCTCTCTTTATGTGTTTCTCCGTTCTGTCCCTCCTCCTCCTCCTCCTCCTCCTGTGACATGAAACCATATCAAGGTGCATGCTCAGAACAGCTAGCTTAACCCAAGAAGCTGTCTTAGGATAGGCCAGACCATCTCAGCACTCCTCTGGAGATCTGTTTGGCTAATAAAGAGTTAACGCCAACTCACTCGGTGTGATTTACTGCTGCTCGCTTCACAGGCAGATGTCTTCTCCATCAGCCTTCCTCAACCTGGTGCCCTCCAACTATTTTGGACTACGACTACTCCTATTCTTTGGAGGAAATGTGGGAAATCGATTGAATAAGTGAAGCAGCTGGAGGGCACCTGGTTGGGGACAGCTGTTCTACACCACCTGCTACCTGATCCTCGTAAATGGGAGATGCCAGGGATTTACCGGATTTTTTGCTCTATAAGACTCACTTTTTCCCTCCTAAAAAGGGGAAATGTGTGTGCATCTTATGGAGCGAATGCAGGCTGCGCAGCTATCCCAGAAGCCAGAACAGCAAGAGGGATTGCTGCTTTCACTGCGCAGTGATCCCTCTTGCTGTTCTGTCTTCTGAGATTCAGAATATTCTTTTTCTTGTTTTCCTCTTCTGAAAACTAGGTGCGTCTTGTTGTCTGGTGCATCTTATAGAGCGAAAAATGCGGTAAATGGACTGTGTCAGCTTGTACTCCCTACCATTGAGTTGTGACTTTAAGTTTAACAGCCTAGCTAACCCCTCAAAACCTTTCGCTGAGCTCTTGCCCGATGGGAATCATTGCAGTGGCTTCTCCCACACGCCACCCTTGCAACTTTAATATATCTGCGTGTAAGCGGCTGGCTAGGAAAACCTGGAGGAATTACATGTTGCAATTTAACTAAATCTTCTGCAGCAGCTCCCTGTTTGGAAGCCGAGTCATCTTTACGGTCTCTCTTTCATTCCCCTAATGCATTAAGACGCCGCGGCCAAGAAGGTTCGGAGAAACCGCAAGCCAAGCGTGCTCTTCCATCTCGGCCCCATCCATTAGGAGCCTTCCCTCCAATTGGCTGATTAACCTGCAGATTATATGGTTTCAAGCTTTTCAAGGCCAGATAATATGGAGGAGTCCTAATCCGTGTTTGTGATTGGGGTGGTAATTCTGGATTAATTAACGCAGAGCAGGAGAGTGTGACATTGAGGTTGTTAACAAATGCTTCCTCCTTGTTGATGTTTTCCAGCAACAGGGTTTCTTCATTGCTTTGTTTATGTGACAACTTGTTGTTCTTCCTCCAAATTTGAGGAAGTGTCTTCTGCTTGGCCAGAGAGGTGTTGTCTAGTCTCTGTCCCCTTTATCAGCTTTGCGTCCCCTCCCCCCCAAAAAAGGACTTGTTTGGGATGATAGCAGGAAAAGCAGAGCATGAACGCTTTAGCGAATAGATTAATGTTCAGTGGCGAGCATCCAAGCAAACCAGATTGCTTCTCTATGCTTTGGAGAGAGTCTGTTTTTGTTCTGCGCTTCACACTACAAAGGTGTAGGTCATGGGGCTATGCATTGGCAAAGAAGACCAGTTCCCTTCTGACGGTCTCCTTGTTTATCATGGGATCTGTTGCTCTGCTGTGGCTATCGATTAGTTCCTGGGCTCAGTCCAAAGGGCTGCTTTTGATCTCTAAAGTCATTTATGGCTCAGGTCCAGCGTATTTCAGGGACCTGGTCTCCTCATATGAACCAGCCCAAACCCTTTGTCAGAGGCCCTTCTCTGTGTGACCCACCTGAGGGCTGTCACCTGGAGGATGGAGCGAGCTTGTCTTCTCCTGCTCCGGAGGGTAGGACCCGAAGCAACGGGTTCAAGTTACAAGAAAGGAGATTCCGACTCAACAAGAGGAAGAACTTTCTGGCAGCCAAAGCTGTTAAGACAGTGGAACAGATTCCCTCGGGAGGTTGTGGGCTCTCCTTCCTTGGAGGTTTATAAGCAGAGTTTGGACGGCCATCTGCCATGGATGCTTTAGCTGAGATCCCTGCATTGCACGGGGTTGGACTAGATGACCCTCAGGGTCCCTTCCAACTCTTATGATTCTATGTTTCTAAGTGCAGAATGCTGCAGTATGAGTGCAGACAGGAGTGAGGCCCTGTCAGCATAGAATAACTTTGCTCAGAGAGCTGCACTGGTTTCTGATATGCTACCACGTAGGTAGGCAAACTAAGGCCCAGAGGCCGGATCCGGCCCAATCACTTTCTAAATCCGGCCCGCGGACGGTCTGGGAATCAGCGTGTTTTTACACGAGTAGAATGTGTCCTTTTATTTAAAATGCATCTCTGGGTTATTTGTTGGGCCTGCCTGGTGTTTTTACATGAGCAGAATGTGTGCTTTTATTTAAAATGCATCTCTGGGTTATTTGTGGGGCATAGGAATTCATTCATATATTTTTTTCAAAATATAGTTTGGCCGCCCACAAGGTCTGAGGGACAGTGGCCTGGCCCCCTGCTGAAAAAGTTTGCTGACCCTTGTGCTACCAGGCCAAGTTCAGTGTGTTGCTATTAGTATATAAATCCCCACCTCTTCCCCTTGAAAACCGGCTCTTTAGTGCAAGATCAGTTCCCCAGAGATGCAGATAAATCCTTTGTCATCTTTTAGGCAGCAGGCCTAAAGACCTTCCTGTTTTCCCCCTGTTAATGCCTTTGGTACGTTAATGTTGCATCTTTTTAATGAGGTGGGTAGAAGTGGTTGCTGGATTTTATTTTGTATTTTGTATTGTTGTTGACTTTTCCGTTTTCCCGCTTTTAAATTGCTCCGACGTGTTTTGTTGTGCCCAGCCGCTTTCGAGGCTTTTCAGTTGTATAAAGTGGACCGGCAAATGGAATAAATAGATAAATAACAGCAATAAGAACAGAAAGGGGCTGGGGATAATCAATACAGGGGAGTGAAAGAGGCACCGCATTCTGCACCAAAGCAAAGTGGATTCTGAGACTGGCATAAGTGAAGCAAAACGCATCGTCAGCTGTTGTGCATCACATATCGAATTTCCTAGACTTGAGGATCGACGAGGAACTAACCTCGCAGCGCCATAAACCCCTGCTCCCTAGAGATCCTGACCGGCCCCTTCCCCAGCTTTTAAGACTTGGAAGCATAAGCCTGCCTTTCCCCTGATATATAGCTATCTATTTTAAGCTGCTGCATTATGTCGCCATTTCAGAATATTTTAGCCCCTGTACCATGCAGTCAAGGAATATGCAGTTCTGGCTGTGATGTCTGGGGCCCGATTGCATGTTTTCTGTCCATTCACGAGAGACGGAAGAGAAAAGCCCACTTTAGGGGTGTAGGTATAGGAAACCTTGAACCTGCCGGGACAGCTCAGTCAATTAGTATGTGGTGTGGACAATGCCAAGGTTGCGGGTTCGATCCCCATACGGGACATATTCCTGCATTGCAGGGGGTTGGACTAGATGACCCTCAGGGTCCCCTCCAACTCTATGATTCTTTCCACTTGCCGCTGCTCCGCTCCCAATTGTCTCTTCCAAAGATGTCCCCCCCCTTTTTTTTTTCTTTTGGAAAGAGCTTTCAAACTGCAGTAACAGGCTTTTGTGTGTCTTGTGTAATTTGGCACTGACAAGAAAGGGGGGGAAAACGAGGCGGGGAGCTGATCTGGCTTTGGAAACTTTAGTTAAAAGAAAACCGCTCTTTTGGACGCAGGTTAGTATGTCAGAGAGGGATAATATGTCTGGATTATTGCATCACTTCCATGGCTCTCAGCAGGGCAGAGTTGGGACACTTGCAACCTGACACTGTATTGTTTTGATTCCAATTCCCACCGGCACCAACCAACCCACATGCCCAGTGGTCAGGAATGATGGGAATTGTAGTTCAGCAATATGTGAAAAAGGGACATGGGTGGTGCTGTGGGTTAAACCACAGAGCCTAGGACTTGCCGATCAGAAGGTCGGTGGTTCGAATCCCCGCGACGGGGTGAGCTCCCGTTGCTCGGTCCCTGCTCCTGCCAACCTAGCAGTTCGAAAACATGTCAAAGTGCAAGTAGATAAATAGGTACAGCTCCGGTGGGAAGGTAAACAGCATTTCCGTGCGCTGTTCTGGTTCGCCAGAAGCGGCTTAGTCATGCTGGTCACATGACCCGGAAGCTGTACGCCGGCTCCCTCGGCCCATAAAGTGAGATGAGTGCCAGAACCCCAGAGTCGGCCACGACTGGACCTAATGGTCCGGGGTCCCTTTACCTTTACCTTAATACGTGAAAAGTACCTAGTTCGCTATCCCTGCTGTAGGGGATGAATTCAGGTTGGAGGAAGAAGGTCAAGATTTGCAACTGAGGTCCCTGGTTTCTTTTCCTATTTTGGGGAAGAGAGTTGTAGGGTCCAAGGTGTGAATCTTCTCTGCATCAGGGCAGGAGTTAAGGATCACATCTTCTTTTTTTTTTGCAAACCTGCCATCAAGCTGGGAGGTAGGACTCCTGGGTTCTCTTCTTCCCACTTCTGGGGGATCTATTATTTTTACTAAATGTTCATGCTTCAGGAGCTCTGTCTTCAATGAGCAAAAAGTGTGTTAGAGTTGCGGTTTTGTTTGTTCTGGTGAGGATGGGATTTCTTGCCCAAGTGCATTTCAATATGTTTTGGCTCCGGTTTTGAAAATGTGCTTGGAGGGGGAGAGGGAAAAAAACTTCCTGTTTTCTTACCGATAGAATGGTTATCTGGAGAGTCCATAAAAGGTGGTAAAAGCTTGGCTGGAGTTGGCTGGACAGAGTTCAGGGCAGGAGGGATTAGGAACGTTCAGAGTTTGGGAAAAGGGGGTTGTAGGAGCTAGCCGAGGCATTTGGGGCTCACTGAGAGGCAGTGTGGCGTAGTGGTGAAAGCAGCTTTCCCCAGCATGGTGGCCTTCAGACGGTTTGGGCTAAAACTCCCATCAGGATGGGAACTGTAGTCCAAAACAGCTGGAGGGCACTTGGTTGGGGAAAGCTGGGCTAGAGTGCCAAACAAGAAATGACGAGACCCAGGTTCAAATCCTTCCTCCGTCACGAAACCTACCTCACAAGGTTGTTGTGAGGATCAAATTGTGTGTGCCGCCGGAGCAGAGGGTTGGGGAACAATGTGCGCTGACCGCCCTGAACTCCTTGGAGTAAAAGTGGGATCGAAATGTAATAGCAGACAAACATTTCACCCCACATTTTACTACAGTGGTACCTTGGGTTACATACACTTCAGGTTACAAACTCCACTAACCCAGAAATAGTGCTTCAGGTTAAGAACTTTGCTTCAGGATGAGAACAGAAATTGTGCTTTAGCGGCGCGGCGGCAGCAGGGGGCCCCATTAGCTAAAGTGGTGCCTCAGGTTAAGAACAGTTTCAGGTTAAGAACGGACCTCCGAAATGAATTAAGTACTTAACCCGAGGTACCACTGTACATGTTGGCAGTGGTAAAAATTCTCTTTTTTGATGCAGGAGATAGAGGCTGAACATTTGTAGCACAATCAACACACACGTAAAGCCTTTAAACATACATAAAATCCCACCAAGAATCTAGGGAGCTGTAGTTTCTTAAGGTTACTGGGAATTGTATATGTGAGGGGTGAACTACGGTTCCCAAGGATTCTTAGAGGGGAGGCAGTGTGCTTTAAATGTCTGGTGCAACTGATAAAGTTAGATCAGGCGTCAGCATACTTTTTCAGCAGGGGCCCAGTCCACTGTCCCTCAGACCTTGTGGGGGGCCGGACTATATTTTGGGGGGGGAAATGAACGAATTCCTATGCCCCACAAATAACCCAGAGATGCATTTTAAATAAAAGCACACATTCTACTCATGTAAAAACACCAGGCAGGCCCCACAAATAATCTAGAGGTGCTTTTTAAATAAAAGGACGCATTCTACTAATGTAAAAACACGCTGATTCCCAGACCGTCCGCGGGCCAGATTGAGAAGGTGATTGGGCCAGATCCGGCCCCCGGGCCTTAGTTTCCCTACCCATGAGTTACGGTAGATTGTCTGCAGGGACTCATTGCTTTTGCAAATCCCCCGCCCCTTTGCTTTCTCCTCTGCCCTGAGAGAAGTTGGCTATTCTTAGGAGACCCCTCCTTAATATGAATAAAGAGGTTGGCCTGGGTGCACGCCGGCCTCTTTCATCTGCCCTTCCCATGCCACTGTGGGCTGCGTCTGGCGCAGGCTCAGGGATTTGGGGTGGGTGTGGGCGAGGGGGCTCCCTTCCCGGCCTGGGAGCGTCCCCAGCGCCAGCTGTCACTGGTCTGCGTCCCCTCTGCGGGAATCCCACTAACAAGGCTAATCTGTCACTCCAGCTTCTCTTCCCCGGCAGGGAAGGCCTGAGGGAGGACAGGGCAACCCGAACCCAGACAGGGCTGGGGGCTGGGGGTGGGAGAGAGAAAGATGGCCGGGTTGGGCTCAGATGGGACAGCTTTTGTGTGCGTGCCTCAGAGGTGGGACACCGTGGTCCCCCGGTCTGATACGGGGCGAGGCAGCTTCTGCAGCAGACATTTTAAGCTAACCAGACAAGCCTCACATGGTTTTTTGTAGTGGGAGGTGGTGAGGAGTCACGGATTGGGGTTTGGCCAGAGCCTCAGAATTTGCTTTTAAAAACAAGTAAACAAAACCTTTGAGTGAAATCTAGGGGGCTGTTAAGCTGTCAGAAGTGGCTGGCTATTTACAGTTTGGATATGGCAGTGAGAGGAAATTTAAGAAAGGGGGAAAAAGCAACGCTTTGCCAAATTCTGGGAGAACTAGCACCGGGATAAAATCTATTTAGCTGTTCTTTATACAGCGCAATGAAGTTTTAGGCGGGTGTTAAGATGCACATTTCTTATACTTTTGTTTTTCAGAGCACCGGTGGCTCATTTGACAACCAGGGTTCAGGGTCCCCCCTCCCCATTTTACCCTCACAACCACGCTATGAGGCCCACAACAGTTTGTTTGGTTTGCAGATGTGCCCCCCCAATGGTGATCTCTTGTGTAGCTGAATGTTCCCTTATACATAAAAAATAAAATTCAAGAATGTGATAGTTCCAAAAGCTAATCTGGTTGGAGGTGGCGGGGAGATGAAGAGATGAACACAAACATGGCTATGGGCACATTCCCAACGTAAAACTCAGCTGCTTCACTCTGTTCCTCAGTTTCAATGGGAGATGGTTTGTGGGCAGATGCATCAAAGCAGAGTGTTTCATAAAAAACTGCAGGATAGATAGGGAATAAAGCAGTTATTTTATGCGTGCTGTGTTTCCAGAACAGTGGTGAGCTGACTTAGGCTCCAAAATCTAGTTGTTTCAGTGTTGGAGTTAACACCTACCATCTCATTGTTCCAATGTGCACAATTTCCTTTGTGTAGTGGAGAGAGTGCCCCTAGGTACATGCAGAGTTCAGTTCCCTTGACGCAGCCACCACAGCCAGTCCTCCCTCACCCAGGATCTTAGCAGGGCTAGGTTTCTCCACAAACAAAAGAGCCTTGGTGAATCTCGTTTTGCAAAGCAGGCAGTGTACAAAATGCGTTTCAAGGTCTTTCGCTTGCCCACACACATGGCTAGGAAGGGGGGATTAACTGCATACTATTTGCAAACATGTACATGTGCTCATGCATTTGTTTGCATGCAGGCACGCAGCAGAGGGGGCAGAAAGCCATTTTTTCCCCCAGTCAGTCACACTTTGGGTTCAGTGAGTTGTTACCAGAAGCACAAGCCTTCCTCTTCTGCTAAAGGGACACTTTTCTGCTGCAGAAACTCATTACAAGACGGACATTCTTCAAGGGACTGCCTTAAATCTAGCCTAGGCTTCTAAACCCAGCTGCTAAGATTATCTGAATCTGAGTGGCAAAACCTTTGCATGGTTCAGCATTTGAGTGAATGGGGCTTCCTTTCCTTGCCCTTTCCCAATCTCCGCTTTTGGGTGTAATGCCAGGAATCCTGGCTGGTTGAAAAACACGTTGACAGTTGAGGTCGCTGCCTGTATGTTTTATCACTTGATCTTGTGTAGTTTTCATAAGTAAACATGCGAATTTGGCTCTCGTGATGAGTCAGAGCTCCGTTTCATCTAGCCCGGTGGTTTTCCCCTCTAAGCATCTCGGTCATTTTCCGCTTCAACTTGCCTTTCGAGTGATACCTATGCATTACCTGAACTTTCCTGTGTTGAAGAGGATTCTGGGCAGGTTTTTGTGCAAAGTCTTGGTTCACGCATGGCGTTTGTTGCAGCCTATTGAGTCTTGCTGTGGCCCCGTGTAAATTGAAAGGTTGCCCTAGGCAGGAGTGTGTGAAATGACCGCCAGCTCATTTCTGAAAATAAATGTTTAGGATGAGTGTGTGTTCATGTGTGCTGTGTTCTTTAATTTTAAGAGTGTGACTTGTCCACACCCCATCCCTCCCCACTCTCTGTTTTGCATTTGGCTCCTGTTGGTGAATAAAGTAGATTCGACAAGCCTGGCATCTGCCCACCCCTTCTTCAGAGCACGCCAATACACCCTGCAGAGGAATCAGAGGGACCCCAAGGGACATCTAGTCCAACCCCCTGCAATGCAAGAACCTCAACTAAATCATCCATGACAGATGGCCATCCAACCTCTGCTTAAACAACCTCCCAGGAGTTTCCCAGCCGCAGTGTGAAAAGCCACAAGTCTAGCCTGGATCGCCATGTTCTCTGGCAGAGTTCCTCCCTGGTCTCACTACCAAATATATATTTTAAAACAAAACAAAACTTGGGGATGTTGCAAGCTGAGCCATGGGACTGTTTACCTACATGAGTAATGGTTCCTCTCCTATACAAGCGGAAGGGCCCATACATAGTTCAGTGGGAGGACATCTGCTTTGCATGTAGAAGGTACCAAGTTCAACCCCTGGCGTCTCTCGGTAGGGCTGGGCATGTCTCTCTTTCTGAACCTATAGGGAGCTTCTGCCCTTGGTGTGCGCACTACTGAGCCACGTGACCCAATGCTCTTAAATTTCTTATAAAGCAGCTTCCAATAATAATAATAATAATAATAATAATAATAATAATAATAATTTCTTATTTATACCCCGCCCATCTAGCTGGGTTTCCCCAGCCACTCTGGGTAGCTTCCAACAAAATATTAAAATACAGTAGTCCATCAAACATTAAAAGCTTCCCTAAACAAGGGACACCTGCCAACCTTGCAGTTCGAAAGCACGTCAAAGTGCAAGTAGATAAATAGGTACCGCTCCGGCGGGAAGGTAAACGGCGTTTCCGTGCGCTGCTCTGGTTTGCCAGAAGTGGCTGAATCATGCTGGCCACATGACCTGAACGCCGGCTCCCTCGGCCAGTCAAGCGAGATGAACGCCGCAACCCCAGAGTCGGCCACGACTGGACCTAATGGTCAAGGGTCCCTTTACCTTTACCTTAAACAAGGGAGGATAATGATCTGCTCAGGTTCAAATCCTACTTTAGCCATGGACTGCCTCTCTGGAGCTGTCCTTGCGATACGGGTGCCAGATGTACCCGGTTAAGTGGAACAGTTCTGGGGAGCGCATGAACTTTCTCCCTGTCAGTAGAGCGCAACGTCACCTTCCTCTGCCGTGCTCTCCTGAGTGCCAGCGAACTGAGAGGGAAGGAGGGAGATGTTCATGTTGCGAATATGCTTTGCCGCCACTCACAGAAAGGCATGAAGCCATGCATCCCAGTGGAGCCTGCTGCCTGGGCGCACCCAGTGTGCCACTATGGCCCTGTCTCCCTCACGGTGCGGACAGGAGACAAAGCGAGCGAGTGGCACACATCTAAGGCTGGCAGCTCGCGTTTTTCTCACCATTATCTATATAGGCCTTTCGAGAATAACGTTCTTCCTACAGGGGAGCCCTTGAAAATCTCTTTCCCACCCTGCTTCTTCAATGCGCAGGCTGGAGCATGGCCCCAGGGGAAAAGTGTGCTTCACAGGCCCGAACCAACAAGGCCCAGCCTCTGGATGTGGGCCAGAGGTCCTCATTCTCGTCCTTTCTCAGTCACGATGGAAACAGCTGGTTGGCCTTCCCATGTTGAATGTCCCCAAAATAAAATGAAATAATCCCCAGACAAAACGGGCCTGGCAGCGCACCCTGGGGACTAGAGAAAGGCGTGTGGGCCTGTATGGTTCCATACGGTTTTAGGCCGCTGGAGGCGCACCTCAGGTGGAGGGAAAATGGGTGTGTCTGTGTGTTTTTGATGCCTGGTGTCGACCATTCTTGTGAGGCATGGCGTCACCCAAGCTCTGTTTTCCCTGCTGCAGGGTGGCAGCAAGCTGGCAAGCTGCCTTCTGGTACAGACTGCCAGTCGCTGGCATCTGTCTCAGCCTCCTTCCCACGGGAGACCTGACTTGCTCTCTGAACATCAGGCGTGCAGGCAAACCCAATCCTAAGCCAAAGGGCATCCATTTTTAGGGTTGCTGTTATTGTTTTGGTAATGTTTGGTAATGTTTTGGTTGTTATTTGTTTTGGTAATGTTTATTGTAGAATGTATTATAGAAAAACAGAGCTCCGCATCCGCATTCAGTCACAAGATACAGTCAGACAGGGGGTCTCTTCATATCTCCATCGCTATCAAACATCGCAATATATCGAGATATCGTGATGCTTAGCTGGTGATATATCGTGATGCTGAAAACCAGATATTGCCCAGCCCTAACAAACAAAGCACTGAAAGGAGGCAGGCGGGGGGAAAGACACTGCCTTGTTTTCCATCAGTTAACCAAGTCGAAACTCACATATTATTATTATGTGCAAAGCTGCTGAATGGTCTAAAATTTAAAAATATCTGTAAGCAATATAAACGAGAGACAGGGGAAGAGGGAGGGAGGGAGGGAGATTTTTAATTGCTTCGGTTGGGGCCATCAGTTTTCCACTACTGGGTTTAGAGGAGATTAATGTAACAATGCATATTTGCTGTTGTAGTTCAGCCTCGGCACCTCTGTGGCCGACAGTTGGTTCAGCTTCGGCAGCCACATTGTGAGCTGACAGGCGGCAGATAACCTGCCCATCTTATTTATACATAATTAACCTCATTTGCATACAATTAAGCATGTGCTCGGCGAGTGGAAGGCTACAGCCGGTGGACATATTGCAACATTTCCGCGCCTGTCTTTTGTGTAATTTCTAGGCTGAGGCCAGGAGTGGGCTGTTGTTTATTTTCTTGTTGCTTAAGTGTGAGATTGCTGCACCTTCTCAAGCTCAGAGCAGTTACACCCCCCCACTCTGCAGTTGCTCATAATAAACCTATGTCACTCTGGAGACAAGTGAGAAAATGGACGGTTTCAGCTCTTTGCAAACGGAGGTCGCAAGTCTCCTTTTGCCAAGTCTTCCAGTCATATTGAAGGAGGTGAGGACAGGTGACCCCACCTAGGCCCAAAGTCACCCCGGAGGCTGGGAGTCAGTGGGTGTGAAGAAAGGTGAATGTAAACAAAGAGAACATTTTTCACCTGGGCCAAGGCAAGGTATATCTGCCAAAATGTCTTTCATTGATGGGAACAGGAGTGCCCTCCTTTCCATTGCCTTGCCCCAGCCAAAATGAGGGTTTGTCAACTCAGACGTACCAATCCTAAGTTAACCTAAAGCACGGTTTGCAAGCCCACTTCAAACTGCAGTTTTGGATTCCAGTTTGCTGTCCAGTTGTGAGCCACGGTCTGTCAACTTGGACTTTATGCCAAACCATAGTTAAACTACAGGAACCATGCTGTGGAGCTAAATTCAGCCAGAGTCATAAAGCTGTTGTCCCTAAACATTCAAAATCACAACGCTGTCTCTCAGAATCACGATATAGGGGTGCGTAATACATTTGAAGCTCTTCTGGGTTTTGATAATAAGGTGTTTACTCAGGAGGCTGAAAATTGGAGGGGAAATTGAGTTCTTTCCTCCTCTCACTGTTCCGCAACTAGAAAAAAACAAATTCCAAAGTGAATAAATCAACTTGCTTAGTTTAGACAAACCTGTTAGTATGCCCCTGTTTGAGGACTGGATCGCAGGACTTGCCTGTCACAGTCCTGATCTTGTGCATATCACTCATCTCACCGTATGCAAGAGAGGAACGCTCAGTATTTTCTCGGCTCCATTTTGTCACTCGCTCCAGGGCAGTTGCCTTCTCAGTAACGTGTTTTAGCCTGCTGCAGGAAGGAGAATGGTAAGGGCTTGTTCTGTAACCATTCCTCCCCTTTCATCTCTTTTACCGAAGCTTCTGCTTCTCCTAAGAGAGAAACCCGAATTGGGTTTGCTCAGCATCTACAGGTCTTGGGCATTTTAAAACAACAGGACGTGTTCTTTCTTTGAGAACTTGCCCCATGCCTTCATGTCTTTCTGCTGTGAATCACCCCTCCATACCTCAGCATGCAAAACGGCATTATACGGAGAGTGATTATGGGTGTATCTACTCCAAAATGTTGCAGAACACTCAAGAATGGCCTTGGCCTTGATTCATGTATTTTTTCTGATATATAGATTGATTCTATATATCAATCTATTGATATTGATATTGATTCATGTATTTTTTCTGATATATAGACGCTGTTTTGCCCAAGACCAGATTATTGCCCAGACTAACAAGGCCAAAGCCTCAGGGCTTTGGTTTTCATAAAATGGAGCCGGTGCATCAATTCATTTTCTTCTCTAAATTTATCAGCTAAAAGGCCTCTTCTCAACGGCCTGGCCGAGGGCCTGTAATATTTGGATAAATATGGCGCTGTGTTTAATGGTTTATGCTGGTGCTGGGGAGAGGAGAGCATTTCACAAGTGGGGGGTCACCACAGAAAAGGCCCGTTCTCGTGTTGCCACCCTCTGGACCTCTTGTGGAGGAGACACATAAAGAAGGGCCTCAGATGACGATCACACTTTGGCCACCTCATGAGAAGAGAAGACTCCCTGGAAAAGACGCTGATGCTGGGAAAGATTGAGAAGCGGACAACAGAGGACGAGATGGTTGGACAGTGTTCTCGAAGCTTCCAGCATGAGTTTGACCAAACTGCGGGAGGCAGTGGAAGACAGGAGTGCCTGGCGTTGAGAGGAGTGCCATGCGTTCATGAAGAGTTGGACACGACTAAACGATTAAACAACAACAAGCTGTTAAAAGCTTTATAGGTCAAAACCAGCACTTTGAATTTGGTCCGGAAACTTATCAGCAGCCAGTGCAGTCAGGCCAGGATCGGTGCAGTGTGCTCAAACCATCTTGCCCCGGAGAGCAGCCTAGCCGTCAAATTCTGCACCATCTGGGGTTTCCAAACTATTCTTTCGAAGTGACTTGGGTTATGTTTTCTGTGAAGTTCCATTCGGCATAACAGAACTAAACGGGCTCGGCCCTGTATACCTGAAGGAGCGTCCCCACTCCCATCGTTCAGCCCGTGCACTGAGGTCCGGCTCCGAGGGCCTTCTGCCTGTTCGCTCACTGCGAGAAGTGAAGCTACAGGGAAGCAAGCGGAGGGTCTTCTCGGTAGTGGTGCCCGCCCTGTGGAACACCCTCCCAAATGTCAAAGAGACAAACAGCTACAGGGGTACCTCGGGTTACATACGCTTCAGGGTACATACGCTTCAGGTTACAGACTCCGCTAACCCAGAAATATTACCTCAGGTTAAGAACTTTGCTTCAGAATGAGAACAGAAATTGCACAGCAGCGGTGCGGCAGCACCGGGAGGCCCCATTAGCTAAAGTGGTGCTTCAAGTTAAGAACAGTTTCAGGTTAAGAACAGACCTCTGGAACGAATTAAGTACTTAACCCGAGGTACCTCTGTATTTGACTTTTAGGAGACATCCGAAGGCAGCCCTGTACAGGGAAGTTTATAATGTTTGATGTTTTATTGTGTTTAATATTTTGCTGAGAGCCACCCAGAGTGGCTAGGGCAACCCAGTCAGATTGGGGGCATAATAATAATAAAATTATTATTATTATTATTACACACCATTCTCTTGAAACAGTGTTCCTAAGGGCTTAGCTTGGCACGAAGTGGCTACGAATCCCCACTTTCACACTGACGTTGGAGACAGGGACCCCATTGCAGAAATAGTAAGGGGTATTCGAGACACACACCCCCCCCTTGCCCTGTGCCCTGAACCATTACTCTACTGGTTGGGACACAGGGAAAGAGAACTTGACGGGGTCCTGCCCCATTCAGCCCCATGTCCCCTTATAAAGTGCAATAGTTCTCATCTGAGCTCCCAGAAGTCAGAGTGGAACAGAAACATCCGCCAAAAAGAGAGAGAAAAGGGTTAAGCACCACGGGTAAGAGGGGTGTGGGAGGATATTTGGGAATGGTTGGCCTTGAAGCTAAAATCTTTTTAAGTTGCCAGGCCAGCTGCTTATGCATCTCTTTGCCACAGGGTTGTTTGAGCTTTGCTGCTGGTCCTTTAGCACAAAGGCGTTTGCATCTGAATAATGCCAGGAGCTGGAAGCTTTTGATTTGGCCTCTCTGTTCCTGCTGTGCTCTTAATTTCAATTTCATTTCCTCTTCTATCTGGGGGCACCTGTTTTCTCTTTCCCCATAAACATTCTAGGGTGGCAGCACTTAAATAAACCCAAGGCTGTCCTGAACCTCTAATAGTTATTCAGAACAGGGGTAGGCAGACTTCTAGAACCAAGGCAGAATTACGTGCAAAAGACTTGGAATTAAAGAACAGTGAACAGGATACCTGTGCTCAGGACCGCAGTACTTCAAGGACAGCTTATCTCTATATGAACCAACCTGGACCCTGTGATCATCATCTGAGGCACACCTTCTTTGTGTGCCTCCTCCACGAGAAGTCTGGAGCGTGGCAACACGAGAACGGGGCCTTTTCTGTGGTGGCTCCTTGTTTGTGGGATGCTCTCCCCAGAGAGGCTTGCCTGGAGCCTCCATTGCATATCTTTAGGCGCCAGGTGGAAACCAGGCCTTTGATTCTATGGCCTTTTAAATGTGTTTGTAGGAGGAGAGTTTTTGTCTTGTTTTTGTTTTATTATGTATTTTGTGTTCGCATTTTGTGTTTTCGTGTTGTGAACTGCCCTGTGACCTCTGGATGAAGGGCGGTATACAAAATGTATTAAACAAGTAATAAATGACTCTGAGCACTTTCTCAGTCGAGGAAATTGCTTTTTGTACTGGAGCTAAACTTAGTTCGCAAACCTTTCACATAAACTTCTGCTCCTTACTGGCCTCCTTTTTCTCCCCCACTTCTGCCACTTAATTTACACGGAAAAAGGCACTTTGTGGTTGCTGTTGTAAAACAATCATAATCCCTTGCAGCTCCTGAGCCGGAGTTTTATTTTGTTTTAATTTAATTCAGACTGGCTTTCGATGGCCAGAGAGATAGATGAGAGGGCATTGGCTTAGCGGTCGGCATGTTGTGATGTTACTTTGCCACAATCTGCCCTGGGACCAGGTGGGTTGTCAATCAGAGAACTCATAAAGGACTTTGGACAGGTGCAGTTTATCTACATAATGGTTGACCTGGGCGGCCCAATCAACTCCCAGAAAACTGGTGGACTACGTGTTCTGCGTCATATCTACCAGTGGGCATTAAGAGAGCCAGTGTGGTGTAGTGGTTAAGAGCGGTAGACTCGTAATCTGGTGAACCGGGTTCGCTTCCCCGCTCCTCCACATGCAGCTGCTGGGTGACCTTGGGCCAGTCACACTTCTCTGAAGTCTCTCAGCCCCACTCACCTCACAGAGTGTTTGTTGTGGGGGAGGAAGGGAAAGGGAGATTGTTAGCCGCTTTGAGACTCCTTAGGGTAGTGACAAAGCGGGATATCAAATCCAAACTCTTCTGTTCTTCCATGGCAATTCACAGGTTTTGGATGTAAAAAGCCTTTGGTTCAATCCCTGATAATCTCCAGGTAGGACTGGGACAGACTTCCTGCCGGGAACCCTGGAGAGCCACTGCCTCACGTGGTAGACAGCACTGAACTAGATGGATCAATAGTCTGACTTTGGTATTATGCAGTTTCCTAGATTTCCCTAGGAATGCATCTATGAAAGAACTACAGAGCCCTTAGAGGGCACCTGTCAGGGACTGGTTGGACGCAGAGGAATGGTGGGAGGAACCAGGTGGGGAACCCCCAAGGGAAGAAGGCTCAGAGCTCGCCCTCCTGCTGCAACAAGCTCCCCTCCTCCCTTGTCTCCCAGAACCAGGAGAGGCATGAAGAGGGCGGAGGAGAAATTAGCACCATGAAGGCGCAGTCTCAGATTGCTTGGGGAAAACTCTACACAGGAGGGAACCTAGGCAGCTGTGAGAAGGCAGGGACCTTCAGCCTCCACAACTGCTCCATAGGGACAAGACTCACCAAAGATGATTTGATATACGATATATACAATATACGATATCTTTATTGTCATTGTCCCATGCAGAACAATGAAATTTAAAAACTACATAAAAACTACATAAAAACTACATAAAACATTCAAAACCCCCTAAAAACTCTGAAACCCCATTTTAAAACACACTATACTATAGAAACCCCTTATCCTGCGTTTAGAACCAGAATTGCATTTGCGTAGAAACTGTTTCTCAGGCGGCTAGTCCTGGCCTTTATAACCCTATACCTTCTTCCAGAAGGCAGAAGCTGAAAGAGATCGTTTCTGGGGTGCGTACTATCCTGCGCTATCTCTGCCACTTTCTTATGGCACCTGGCAGCATAGATTTGATCTAAGGTGGGAAGAGTGCACCCAATTATTCTCTCTGCAGTCTTTACAACCCTGGATAGCATTGTTTTTTCCCTGGCCTGACACACTTTTTTTTCTAATAAAGAGTCCGGCTAGCTCAGGATTGGCTCACTAATAGGCACCTGCTTTCCAGAGTTTAAGGCAAGGGATGTTCTGAGCCTTACCTGGAGATTCCCAGGATTGAACCTGGCGCCTTATGCATACAAGACACATGCCGTACCCCTGAGCTACGCTATGCCCCTTTCCCCAGGAGGACTGCGGATTGCTGGAGGTGTTTCACACAAGGGATATTTTCCCTGCAACGCAAACATTCACCCCCCTTAGTAAGCAAGCTTTCCTTGCAAAACCTTAAGCAGCTGAGTAACCAAAAGAGGGGGGAAAGGCATTTGTTTGTTGTACCTCAGAGACAGGGATGCCTCTGCCACCCCATTTTCAACCCTGGACATGCTTCTGCCTTCCCTTGGGCACTGTATTCATCCAGCGTCCTTTAGACCTTGCAATCCCTCCCTGTCTCTGGGCCTTGTGCCTGCCTGCTCTGCAGTCTGAATAAGTTCCTTCCTTCCTTCCCAGAGAATCTTTTACAGAGGAGCTTATCATAGCCCTGTCTCTGCCTCTAGCTTTGGGTACCCTTGGGGGGTGTTTTGGTGGGGGGACCTACTCCGTTCCTCCGTCTGCCCTGGTTTGAGATGTTACGTGAAGACGAGGAGCCTTCTGTCTATGCACCAGTGTTTATGAATCAATCTCTTTTTCTTCCCTGGGTTTTCCCAGCTGGTTCCCTGGCGCTCAGCAGTTTCTGGGCATCCCGCCTTGCCAGAACCGCCCCCCCTCCCTCTCCATTACCCGGCTGGGAGATGAAAGCTGGCTCTCTCCCCCCACCCCCTCATTTGGAGGGGCTTATCCTGGAACAAAGCCCTCAGCGCCAGCCTGGAATCCCAAGCAGCTGCCGGCTTGCTTGCTTCCTTGTGGGCCCTTTCATATCGCCAATTTCTCTCTCCCCTTTCACACCCCCCCACCCAGTGCCAGATAGCTGCTTTATTCCTCTTCTCTTTCCCCCCCCCCACCCCATACCAGCTCCTCCCAGCAATTCTCAATCAAGATTGCCTTAAGTGTAGCTAAAGGCATATAATATCTGATATTTGATGGAGGAAAAAGCGGCAGGCTTGTCCTGTTTTGAGTGCATGAGAAATGCACAACATACAATGTAATAGAAGAAGAAGAAGAAGAAGAAGAAGAAGAAGAAGAGGAAGAGTTTGGATTTGATATCCAGCCTTTCACTCCCTTTAAGGAGTCTCAAAGCGGCTCACATTCTCCTTTCCCTTCCTCCCCCACAACAAACACTCTGTGAGGTGAGTGGGGCTGAGAGACTTCAGAGAAGTGTGGCTGGCCCAAGGTCACCCAGCAGCTGCGTGTGGAGGAGCGGAGACGCGAACCCGGTTCCCCAGATTACGAGACTACCGCTCTTAACCACTACACCACACTGGCTCTCTGTGTGTGTTAGGTGTTTGTGTGATGCCGCATGAACCAGTCTCCCTACAACGCACACACACACACAATGCTAAACTGTGGTTAACAGTGTTGTGATGAAAAGACCCATTGCTTAGTTCAGATGATCCCCTAACCATGGTTTGGAGGACTGGGGATAAACCATGGGCTCACACACTCCCCCTTCCCTTCTTCTGTGCAGCTTCACTTCCCCGTTTCCTGTTTGGAACTAACCATAGTTTGCCATGGCACCCGGGTCACGAAACTATGGTTAGCTCCTGCTCTCCACTGTGCTGTTGCTTCTCTGCAAATAGGAAAGATGCAGTTTTGGCTCTGTGTGCGTTTGTGTGTATGTGCAGGAGTGCGAAAACCCTGTGTAGGCTTGGAGACTGTTGAGTTGCGTATGAAAGGAGGAAAGGTGGTATACAGTGGTACCTCAGGTTAAGTACTTAATTCGTTCCGGAGCTCCGTACTTAACCTGAAACTGTTCTTAACCTGAAGCACCACTTTAGCTAATGGGGCCTCCTGCTGCCGCCGTGCCGCCGGAGCACAATTTTTGTTCTCATCCTGAAGCAAAGTTCTTAACCTGAAGCACTATTTCTGGGTTAGTGGAGTCTGTAACCTGAAGCCTATGTAACCTGAAGTGTATATAACCTGAGGTACCACTATATCTGGAAGGGTATCGATCATATAATCATCTATAGCATCCATGACAAACGGTCACCCGCACTTTGCTTAAAAACCTCAAAGGAAAGTCTGTATAATCAAAATAGTAATATTTGGAGGGGTATTAATTAGTACCCACATACCAGCTACAATCCTATGTAGTGCGGGAGGTATCCTCAGACCCCACTTTACCAACTTTATTCTAGTAGTAAAACCGAAAGTTGCAGCAGTATACCTCTGGGACTTTAAACTTAGAATTTGAAATTTCTCCTCAGGATGTTGCAAAGAACGTGGCTTTTGCACCAGAAGCATTAGGCGGTCTTGTGGTGGCCAGCGAATGGAGAATAAAAGGATTGTGTTTCCCACTTAAAGCCAAATTGCCCTGGCCCTTATCTGCTTCTAAGACACGGCAGCAGAGAGAGAGAGAGAACGAGCCGTGGATATTTTTAGAACTGCTGAGGAAAGGAGCCATTCGGTGGTTCTGCTTTGCAGCTTAGAAACTTTCGAGGGCAAACTTCCCTTTGGAACCGTCTCTCTCAACAGCGGTGGGGAAAACCAATGTTAGAAAACGTTTGTTGAGTACTGTGGGGATCTGATGGTTTTCAACAGTTGTGGAGACCCCCAGCACCGCCCTCCTGCCCCTCAAGGGGTGAATGCCAAGGACCTTACCCTGCTGAACACAGCATGCCTGCCTTTCCACATATTTGCAATTCCCAGAGTTGCTTGGGAAGAGAGGTGGATGGTTAAATTACCATGGGAAGCGTAGTTCTGAGAGGGGAATAGGGGGGTCTCCTAACAACTTTCAGTGCTCTTAACAAACTACAGTTCCCAGGATTCTTTGGTGGAGGCTAGCGCCACATTCACGGTGTACACTAAAATTTTATTTTATTTATTTATTACATTTATATGCCATCTTTCTCTTCCAAGGATCTCAAGATTGTGTACGCGATTCTCCTCCCCATTTCGTTTAATCCTCACAGCAACCCTGTTGTAAATCTCGCTCCCCATATCTCTGCAGCCACATGCGGGGTTTTTTTAAAAAACATGGAAGCCCTCCAGAGAAGTTGCCAGTGTTTTTAGTGGAAATCTGTCCTAATGTACATACATGTACACAGGTTTGATAAATGTACAGTCGTTGAAAGCCGAACGCCTTGGCTCCCAAACAAATCGGCTCCCGAACGATCGAAACCCGGAAGTGAGTCTTTCGGTTTTCGAATAATTTTCGGAACCTGAACATCCGGTGCAGTGTCCGCGACTCCTGCAGCCAATCGGAGGCCGCACTTTGGTTTTTGAACGGTTCCGGGAGTCAAACGGACTCCTGGAACGCATTTTGTTCAAAAACCAAGGTACCACTGTACACATTTGCGCAAGTGTTTTCCCCCTCACTATAATTAAGGACTTTGTACACTTCGGTTGCTTTGAGAACTCTGCCGCAAAATTCTGCAAGTTTTGAAAGAATAGTCATGTTTTGAGAAGTGCAGATTTGGGGAATTTCTTGTTAAGATCAACATCAAATTTCTCCTTTCAGAATGGTCCCTGGTGATGACAGGGGCAAGGAGAGAATCTGCTGAGGGCATTTATTTCAACCACACACACACACACACACACACGAGAGAGAGAGAGAGAGAGAGAGAGAGAGAGACCTCACATGTTGTGAGAATCATAATTCTATACAGAACAAGTTTCACACCTTTCAAATCAAGGCATTTAGAGGCCAGAGAGATGAATTGCATTCCCTTCAGAGGCCGTTTTACTTCCCATTGGGAATGTTACCCATTGTGATAAAAGATGAGCTGCCAATTTCAATGTTTCTCCTCCTCCTTCTGTTGCCATGGATGGGGCAGAGGAAAGGGCCGCTGTTTACAAAAAAACAATAACAGCCCCGTGAAGGGGGGATGACCTGTTTGTTGAAAAGATAGGCTGGCGAAAGCTGCTGCTGTCACATAATAGATAAGAGCAAGTGCTGTGAGCCAGGAAGTACACGGTTCAGATTTCATCTCTGCTCTGAATTTATTAGATAGCTTTGGGCAAATAACCAACCACACACACCCTCCCCCCGCCCGGATTTTTTCCCCTCCTCAGCCTCAACCTTTGCAATATGAGAATAAATGCCTATCTTGCAGGATTTCACCGGCGAGGCCTGAGAGGAAGCACTTTGAAAAACACTTTGTGAGAGCTGCATAAATCCTAAAACACGCTGCTGTTATTTGTTATTTAAAATGATGGGCGAGGGCCGTAGCAAAGGGTCAGAGCGCTGCCCTTTCTTGTCGAAGGCCCACGGTTCAATTCCTGGCATCTCCGGGTCGGGCCTTGCCTGAAGGCGTAGAGACCTGCTGCCGATCAGTGTAGGCAGCACTGAGGTAGATGGAACATTGGTCTGACTTGGTTTATTTACTTATTTATTGAATTTGCATTTTATTTATTTCTTAACATTCTTATATTACATCGGTAAACGTTGTCATATTACATTACAGGACTTACTATAATATGATTTCCAACATGTATACATAAATTATATACAAATTTTATATACCTAGAAAGAAAATGAAACAAAAAAAGAGAAAGAACAAAGAGAAAAAACAAAAACAGTTCCCCTGCCCAAATCATATACATACCAACACACTAGACTTCCTGTCTTTCCCGTTTTATATTCCTTTTTTTCAAATGATTGTACTCTTATTAATGTATATTTCTTTACATATTATCTAATACATTCCTATATCAATATGTGTTCTTAGTCCTATTTCTCAACTCAGTCTCACTCCAGCATCAATCAAATGCTAGCATAGATAGCGAACTTTTACTGTATTTTTGAACATATGTTTTATATCGATCCCACTTTTCCGTAAATTTTTGTTTTGAATTGCCTCTCAGGGTATTTGTTAACTGCGCCATTTCAGCAAATTCTTGTAGCTTGTAGTGCCAGTCCGTTATTGTCGGGGCTTCTTGTTCCTTCCACCCCTTTGCCACCAAAGTCCGAGCTGCGGCCGTTGCATATAAGAATAAAGGCCTCCGAAGCTCTGACTTGGTTTAAGGCAGCTTCCCATGGATTTAAACCACAGGGTGAACTTTGAACATAAGGAGAACCTGTTGGGTCAAGCCTGCGGCCTGTCTAGTCCAGCATGCTGTTCTCACAGAGGCCGCCAGAAACAGAAACAGGCAAGAAGAAGAGCATTGTTCCCCCATGTAGTTTCCAGAAATTAGTATTCAGACCGCAGAGGCAGAGCATAGCCATCATGGGAAGAATAACAGAATTCTAGAGTTGGAAGGGACCCCGAGGGTCATCTAGTCCAACCCCCTGCAATGCAGGGATATGCAGCTGTCCCGTTTGGGGATTGAACCCGCAACTTGGCATCATCAGCACCACGCTCTAACCAACTGAGCTATCAACAGCCTTATCCTCCGTTAAGTTGTCCAATCCTCTTTAAGACCGTTATGTGGCCACAATAAAAGTATGTGTTTATGACTGCGACATCTGTTTTGTGCTGTAATTAATTTTGGCGGTTAACGTTTTTGGGAAATTGAGTCTGTAACGAACGTGCCCCGTGAAAAAAATGGTGGGCAGCACTGAGCACTTTGTAAGGATTACAGTGAAGGAGCTCTTGACAGCGACACAGCCGTTAAGATAGAGGTCAGCAACTGGCGGCCCCCAAGCTGAATCCGGCCGCCCTTGAAGGAAGCCCAAAAGTTGCCAGCTTGGAGGCAAAAATATGGGATATGGAAGAACCATTGACGGTGGATATGGGGCTTGCTTGGGTAGGTCCTTAGGCAGGTGGGCCTTGGGCCTATCCATTTTGAGGAAACCTCTGACAAAATCTACTACTGAGCATGGCCTTAGGTTGTTTTCTGGTCAGTCCTGATCGCCATTCATTCATTCATTCTTTTTCTCCTCTCCTCAGCCCCAGAATGCCACGCAGAAGTGCAAGTGTCCGTCCCGGCTTTGTTGGAGGTCCAGCTAGGCCACAAAGTGTCCATCTCCTGTACACACACCACGGAAGGTCACGATGGCTTGCCCCTGGTGGAGTGGTTCATCGTAAGTATGTGGGTCTTGGGAAGGCGGATAATGGCGGCTGGGGGTGTGGTGCTTTTAGACGCCCTTAGTAACCAGCCCTTTTGTCCTTGTCTGTGAAACCCTCTGCAGACGGACAAGAATGGGGAGCAGCGGCGTGTGGCCTACAGCGATCAGGGTCGGCAGGGGGTGGACAGAGGCACCGAGTACACGGACCGCGCCTCCATGGAAGCCGGCCACAGTTTGGTCATCAAAGCAGCCGAGGTGATTGACGAGAGAGCCTTCTCCTGCCAGGTGACGGCGGGCGCCGCAGGGAGCGGAATGGGAGTGACGCAACTCAAGGTGTACGGTGAGGCTCCTGCCATCACTTCTCTCGCCATTCGGACCACGAGGCACTCATGCCGCCATCTTGTCTCCTTGTCCTTCCCTCGTAAAGCTCTCTTTACGGCTTGCCCTTGTTTTCGCTGCCTGCCCACAGCTTTCCTGGCTCCACCCTTGCTCCCCTTGCACCTGAAAGTCTCCTTTGGGCCGGCCCTACCGTTGGGGGGCAGTGCGAAACGGCTGCCTCAGGGTGCTGGTTTTGGCTGTCAAAGAAGGCTAGCAAACGACCAGCTACCTAAATTATTGCTAGTAGATCGGCAAGGAGGAGGAGAAGAGGTGCTTATAGGATTTTCTGCCTGCGGGACCAAAATAATTTGGCTACCCTCAGGCTTTGTGCAGGAGAATTGCAGGCGGGTGGAGATTTATTGCTCTGCCTCAGGCGGCAAAATCTCTTGGACCGGCCCTGCAGATTCCACCTTCAGATCCCAACCTTGCCTTCAAATACACCGTTTTTTGGTTAACCCTTAGGCCGCCACATGAACTGGCGCAAAGCCTAAATAAGTCCCTGCGGCTGGGATTTAGATCCTTGGAGCCAGAGACCTCTCCTCACTCCCTTAAGTTAGCTGTATAAGCACCTTGTGAATCAGTAAAAATGAATCTTGCTTTTCTTGGCTTGACTAGCACTTAAAAGCTCCGTGTGAATCAATCGATAGAAGAAAAACAATCCCTGCTGCGCAACCCTTCTTGGCCAAATGTGTTTTTTTTCTGTTCCGGGTGTCTTGGTCCTTTTATGTCATCTCCGTATTCCCTTTGCCAAGCTCTGAAAGGCTCCTAAAGAGGACGTTCTAGGCCCTGAGATGGCCCAATATATTTCTGGTACCTGAAGCAGAACATCCCTAATGGTGGTAAAATATTTCATGTTATTATTATGATTGGCAGCTTAATGGTGCCCTCAGAGCTGCAGCCTGAGGTGCCCCTTCCTTGCCTTGCGTAATGATAAGGCCCGTCTTCTCTAGGTGTCGTCCTCCACATTAACCTGTGGATAAATTAGAACTAAGCCGGTGTTTTGTGGAGACAGGACACACAGTGTTAAGATATTGTGAAACGCCTGCCTTGCACCAGTTCAACCTGTGTCAACCTGTTTCCTTATCTCCTTAGAAGGCTCCTGTTTTTTGTGTTCCTTTTCATTTCGTTTCACTTTTAATTTGTATACCGCCTACCTATATTACTATACGCAATGCGGTTTACAAGCTGAAGAAACAGCACCTTATAACAATCTGATCCAGTACAAATAAGGCGCAATAGAAACATAACTTTAAAATAAACAACTTACGTCAAATAAAATAACCCCTTAGAATATAATAGTATGTAATGAAATTAAATTATAGGCAAACGACAATCAAATAGCAATTCACTCTTAACAATTACAATTACAGTGGTACCTCTGGTTACGTACTTAATTCGTTCCGGAGGTCTGTTCTTAACCTGAAACTGTTCTTAACCTGAAGCACCACTTTAGCTAATGGGGCCTCCTGCTGCTGCCGTGCCGCCGGAGCACGGTTTCTGTTCTCATCCTGGAGCAAAGTTCTTAACCTGAGGTACTATTTCTGGGTTAGTGGAGTCTGTAACCTGGAGTGTATGTAACCTGAAGCGTATGTAACCCGAGGTACTACTGTACAATAAAAAATTACTATAATCAGTGAAAATGACAGCGAGTCACAACGCAAAAAATACCACAATACGTTCAGAACCACGAGGAAGGATCAAATCGAGAAACCAAGACACACAACTTGAGCCTGGTTTTGTGGCAGCCCTGCCTTGCTTAACGCTGGTCCTGCTTGAGAAAGATATAATATAATTTCTTAGAGATGAAATAGCATCGTAGAATTGTGGGGCTGGGAGGGACCCCTAGGCTCATATTGTCCAACCCCCTTGCGGTGCAGGAGCCTCGACTATCAGAACAGCGATGGAACATATTGTAGCATTGCAGGGAGATCACTCAACCTTCCCACTCTGAACTGGCGAGAAATACCCTGTGCCCCCATCTCTTTGCTATCCTGGTTGATCTCCCCCCATCTAGGACTATCTAGGACTTCTCATAACTCCCTCCAACCTAGTCCTCCTGGGCCAGCCTCTTTCCCTCCAGCCCCCAGCTTCTTCTTCGCCCGATGATGCGTAATTCCTTCCCTTACGAAATCGTTTCCCTGCCTGCAGCAAAACACCTGGAGATGCCACCTCCGCTCTTTCTTCCAAAGGCGGCTTGCATCTCTCATTCTGTCTGTACTTTCCCCCTCCAGCAACCTAATGCTGATGGGTCTTGTATGCTCCGAGTTTCCACGGCCATGGTCTTCCAGTGGCCAGGTTCAGGTCAGCCTCCCTGACTTTGGGACATCAAACGGCTGCGTGCAACAACATCCCAGTGGCTCTGTCATGCACCTGCAAACACAAATGGGACAAGAGAAGCAGCTGTGTTTGTCTACACACCTTCCATGCTAATAAACAGAGACGCCTGATCATTTCCCCCTCTCTGATTAAGAGGAAGCAGTGGGGTTTGTTGTCCCGGAATCTAGCTCAGTGCTGGTTTGTTTTGGGGTTCAGCCCCCCGCAACCTTGCTTATTGAATAAGATAACTTCTATTGTGTTTGTCCTTGAACCACAGCAGCACCAAGCGAGATAACAAAATTTAAACCAGATAACAGAAGCTCACACAAAAAATTCAATACTCTCTATTTATAACCAGTAATTCATAAAGTTAATAATTAGGATTAGCAAAATGAAAACATTCACACTGAAGCATGAAACATATTAAAACATATTCTTTAAAAAAACAACCATTTGTGTAATACAAAGCTGATATCAAGGTATGTCGTTTGTGTTTTCAGATCTCCAAGGTACCTCCATACGTACTCCTATATAAATAGCAGCCTTTATGGCAAAATAAGCAACCCTCCGTGCCACATACTGATTAGTGACTTGTAGCAGGAAACCCAGCTTCCTTTTTGCACCACAAATTTTGGGAAACCTGTTTACTGATGTGGGGGCCCCTGCATTTTGTGGGTGAGATCACCCTGAATTTTGTTCCGAGACAAGAGCTCCTCGCTTGTTTTCTCAATTTCAATCTCTTCATTTCCCCTTGTATCTGGGGAGTGAAGATGGGAGGAGGCGGGATTTCCTAGTTTCCTAATTTCTGCAGTTTGGGTGCCACTTGTGAAAAGGCCCCGCCTTGCATAGTCACCCACTCAGGACCCATCCTCAAAGGAAAAGCTTAATAAACAGGGATGTACATGCAGAACATGGCAAGTCTTGTAAGTGAGCAGAGTAGTCAATGGCCCTACTATGTCTGACCTCTACTGTCTCCTCAAACAGGTGCACCTGAAGCCCCAGAGGTCATACCTACCAGCAGGACCCTCTCTGTGACTGAGGAGGATGCCTCAGAGGTGAGATGCTGCTATCCTTTTCTTAAAGACAGAAACAAAACCTTGGAAGTGCCTGAAAGCCTTATTTCCTGACCTCAGGGCTTGGAATAGGTGCACTGACTATGGTGCCTTCACACCAAAGGGAGAGCACTCTGTACATGCTCAGAGGAATTCACCCTTCTCCAGCCCCTTTCCTGGCGCTGAAGTGAAATGGCTTAAAGAGATAGATGAGGATGAGCTGGAAACAGCTTTGAGTGTGTTCCCTGCTCCGTAATTATTATTGTGAGGGAGGTTTTTAAGACTTTCCTTAGGTGTGTGGATCTAGCTTCCCTTCAAGTTGGAAGACCCCACAGTTCCATGGGAATTAAATATGGCATCAGTCTCAGATTTCAACTACTTCTCCATTTTGAGTTCCATTTTTAAAAAGAAAGAAAGCATCTTTCTAGCTCTCGTGCTTCAAACTGTGTGGGCTGTGCCTGGTGAATCTCAGGGGAGGCCACTGAATAAGATTTCCAGTTGTCCGGAGTCAGGCTTCTCTGCCCTATATAGCTTTGTCTCTCCTCATAATCAGCAGAAAGAATAAATCATGCAAAACACTCACTGCGCTCGGCAGGAGATGGTGCTCCAGCCAACTGCCATCTCCTCAGGAGGTCCCCTCCAAGTGACGTAAAAATTGGGCCTTCAGCCTTGCCAATATTATCTTATTGGTTCCTATTGAATGCCTTACTTTTTCAACAAGACTTTTAAAATAGAGATTATTTTAACCCATTCCGTATCCGTGTTGCAGCTAAAACGTTTAATATACCGTATTTTTTGCTCTATAGGATGCACCGGACCACAAGACACACCTAGTTTTTAGAGGGGGAAATCTTGGCTTCTGCCATAGCCGCGCAACCTCTCCAGCCGGGAGCTAAACCTCTCCAGCGCGGCTAAAGAAGCATGGCTAAAGAAGCCAAGGCAGCGAGCGCGATCCATCCCGCTTGCTGCCTTGGCTTCCTCTTTAGCCTTGCGCAGCCTCTCCCGGCTGGAGAGGCTGCGCGCGGCTATGGCAATTCCCCCACCTCCTGCAAAAGCCCACAGGAACTGCGCACCCTTTAAGGAGCGTGCGGCTCCTGCGGGCTTTTCTACGAGGAGGGAGAAGGGACTGTCTGGCCGCGTCAGCCCCTTCTCCCTCCTGGGGAAAACCCGCAAGAGCCGCGTGGAGCTTGTGTGCGGCTCTCGGTGCCTTTTCCTTCCTGCCTCCCCCCTGCATTCGCTCCATAAAACACACACACATTTCCCCTCACTTTTTAGAATGGAAAAAGTGTGTCTTATGGAGCGAAAAATACGGTATATATTTTTTAATTGTAAATGGCTTCGGGGTGTTTTATGCTGGGAAGCGGTTAACAGGAAGTTAGGAAAGGTTGCAGAAACCAGCGCAATTTAGCGTTTCCTCTTTTTTTTTGTACAGCCCTGCTGGCAAGGTGGGAAGCTGTGACTGTAAATAAGACTAACTAAAATCCCAGGTGGGAGAACTCTCCTAAGGACAGTGAGGGAGAGTGGTCATAGCAGGGCCTTACCAGTGATTCACCGGCTTTCCTTCCTCCCCAGATTGCGACCTGCACCAGCAAAAATGCCAACCCGGTGCCTACCATCAGCTGGTACAGAGATGGCCGCTCTCTGAATGCCTCCACAGAACGCAATAAGGGTAAGGAAGCTGTTTTTCTGCTGTTGTCTTTCCTTCGAGGACATGAGCTGTCTGAGAAAACATAGCTCTAGGTACATCTCCGACTGCCACTGCCATTTTCAATCTTACGATCCTGACTGCCACTGAGCATCTTACGCCATCCTGAGGCTAATTTGGAATAAATGTATAGACAAACAGTTGCTCTCTCTCATCCTTTCCTCAGGTTGCAAGAGTGCTGCCTGTTGTTTAAATTTATTTTTCCCCTCAAAATAGGCCTGCATCACTCAAAATAGGCCTCTATTCCTGCAGAACCTTAAAACCACCCATTAAAACAAAACCACCACACAGCTGAAAACCATATAGCTGCTAAATTCTTAAACTGCACGAAAGTTGCCATTTTATATACCGTGGTACCTCGGTTTTTTTAGGGACGCGGGTGGCGCTGTGGGTTAAACCACAGAGCCTAGGACTTGCCGATCAGAAGGTCAGCAATTCGAATCCTCACGATGGGGTGAGCTCCCTTTGCTCAGTCCCTGCTCCTGCCAACCTAGCAGTTCAAAAGCACGTCAAAAGTGCAAGTAGATAAATAGGTACCGCTCCGGCGGGAAGGTAAACGGCGTTTCCGTGCACTGCTCTGGTTTGCCAGAAGCGGCTTAGTCATGCTGGTCACATGACCCGGAAGCTGTACGCTGTCTCCCTCGGCCAATAAAGCGAGATGAGTGCTGCAACCCCAGAGTCGGCCACGACTGGACCTAATGGTCAGGGGTCCCTTTACCTTTACTTTACCTTGGTTTTTGAACATCTCCGTTGACAAACATTTCGGTTTTTGAACACGCCTCAGAAGTCGAACATGCCACGTGGCTTCCCCTGAGTGCAAGATTCTGAGGCCTAGCTGCTGGCTATTGAGTTTTCGGTTTTCAGAACTCGAACGGTCTTCCGGAACGGATTACGTTCAAAAACCGAGGTACCACCATATTTCTTTCAAATCACCGAAATGATGCGTTGGAAAATATCCTTGTGCTGCCCCGTTTCCAGAGTTCTCGCCTTCCCATGTGCCCCTCGGCCGACTGGCCTCATTCTCTGCATCACCTGTATACCTGTGCTCCTCCCCAGAGCTGTATGTCGTGTCACGGACAGTGAAAGAGGCATCAGGGCTGCTCTCCGTCTCCAGCACACTGTACCTGCGGGTGAACAAATCTGACAAGGACTCCAACTTCCTCTGCCACGTCAGCTACGCAATGCCGCACGGAAAAGTCGGCAGCGCAGAGTCGGACCCCTTCCAGCTCACGTTGCACTGTAAGTTACGTGGAAATGTTGGGAGCGTCTGTGGAGCATTCATCCTGTATGGTTTCAGGTGTGGTGGCCTTCAGTAAGCATTTTCCGTGTGACTGTGTCAATGTTATCATTAGTGTTTTATTAATTCTCTTCCAAACCTCCGTTCTGAGGCCATTTACACATGTTTGTGTCCCTGCCCAAGTTTTAAGATCTCCTTTGGAGGCCTGCCTTTGATCCTCAGCGAAGGCCCAGTGGATGGGTACAGGGCCTTTTTGGTGGTGGCCCGCAGACTGCAAAATGCCCTCCAGCAGCTTTCCTCTTTGACCTGCTTTTAGAGGTACAGCCAGAAGGGGTCGGTGCCACCTGAGGGACAGCTCATTTGGGAGAACATGGGACTCTTAAGCTCAGGGTTATGGGTTCGAGCCCCACGTTGGGTGAAAGATGCTGGAGGGTGGGCTAGAGACGACTCTTGTGGTCCCTTCTAATTCTGTGCTTTTACGAAGACACCTGCTTTTTGGTTTTGCTTTTAAAATTATATTTGTTGCAAGCTGCTCCGAGGTTCCTAGTCAGGTAGAAGGTGCAGGATTACAAATATCGTTCAGAATAAATCTGTTCCGGCAGGCTTTTAATTTGCTTTAATCCTGGCTGAGGGCTTTGATGTATGACCTTAATGCTCCTGCTTCTAGGATCTTGCTGCGCATTGGTTCTAATTTTATTGTATCGTGGTCAGGCGCAGCTAGGTACTTAAAGGAATTGGTGCACGGTCCCATGGCTCAAATTCTTCCAGCCTAGCCAGCCTCACAGGGTCGATATGGGAATTAAAGGAGGAGGAGGAGAACCATAGAAACTACCTTGATCTCCTTGGAGAAAAAGGTGGGGTTATAAATGCAAGAAATAAGCAAATAAATACTGTGCCGCAGGCTTACAAGATCTTTGGAATGTGCAGGAGAAACTCAGAGATCTACGATTAATAGTAGTAGTAATAATAATAATACAGAAATAAATAGTCATGTGGTTTCAGTGTGACCCTCTTTCCTCAGACTTCACAGAAAACGTGCAGTTTTCTGTAGATTCCCCAGAGGTCATCAAGGAAGGGGATGATATCGAGTTGCAATGCCAGGCAGACGGCTACCCCCCACCGGAGTACGTCTTTTACAAAATAAAGGTACCGTTGACCATGACTTTTTATCCATGTCCAACCTGTTTCTTCCTGGGGAGAGACAGTGGGGGAGGGGTTTGAGACGATCTGCGTGTTTTGGTTTTATTTGTTGATATGAGTTGGAAATGAGGGACGCGGGTGGCGCTGTGGGTTAAACCACAGAGCCTAGGACTTGCCAATCAGAAGGTCGGCGGTTCGAATACCTGTGACGGGGTGAGCTCCCGTTGCTCGGTCCCTGCTCCTGCTCACTTAGCAGTTCGAATGCATGTCAAAGTGCAAGTAGATAAATAGGTACCGCTCTGGCGGGAAGGTAAATGGCGGTTCCGTGCGCTGCTCTGGTTTGCCAGAAGCGGCTTAGTCATGCTGGCCACATGAGCTGTACGCCGGCTCCCTCAGCCAATAAAGCGAGATGAGCGCCGCAACCCCAGAGTCGGCTACAACTGGACCTAATGGTCAGGGGTCCCTTTACTTTTACCTTTATGAGTTGGAAAACAAGGACATCCTTTCTGACAGCAGTGGGCATGAAGTCACTTCTCCAGGCCTCAGGCTGGGTGGTGGTTGCCATTGCTGTTTCGCTCCAGACAAAACAGGCCTCCTGACCTTTTTTTGGGGGGGGGGACCTCCCCTTTTTGCCTCCCTTGCAAATCCAGAGTGAAGACACACAGGTAGACCTGGGGTCCCACACCAACGGAATCCTGAGCCTTCCGCATGTGACCAAGGCAGACGGCGGGACATACCGGTGTCAGGTGCTGGACTTTGACAGCCCCAGTACCGTAGAGCTGGAGAAGGAGGTGACCATCTCTGTCAACTGTGAGTGCCCCGTGGACTGCTGGGGGAGGGGCAACAGGGCATCATGCTGGGAGACAGGTTGGTGGGGGACGACGGCAGTGAAACCTGTTGGCAAAGTCACTTCAGTAGCACAGAGTCCAGAGAGAAAAGTAACCCTGACAACACCTTAGAGAAGAAGCAAAAATGGTGTAGAATTTGAGGAGAATGTACATAGCAGGGAGATGTACAACCAAACATACAGAGGAGAAACTTCCTCCAAACTACACAGCCAACCAGAGCACTTGCTGCTTCACGGAAGATCTTGCCAATCTGTCTGGTTGCCAAGCAACACCTCCACATACGCACACGCCCTTCTTGGGTAGTTGAGTATCACTGAGAACGGAATTAACCCCTTAAGTTACAAACTGAATGATCCCTGCTGTTGCACTTCCATCAAAACCCTGAGTATTGTCAGCCTCTCTCACTCTTTGTCTCTCTCTTTCTCCCCCCCCCCCTTCCCCCTGTTCCCACTTTAGATCTGGACCCCCTGGTTCTGAACCCAAACAAGACGGTGATGGCAAGATTGGGCGAAAACATCGAGCTGACCTGCTCTGGTACTGGCTCCCAGATGCCCACCTTGCTATGGAAGAAGGTGGGTGGAGGCGCCACACGCTTACGAAATAACGCAGGAGCTACGATCTGGCTCAGCATCGCCATTTGTTGCGATTCAGCACTAAACATCAGGTCTTCCTGGGGGAAAGTGGGGGAACAAACAGAAGTTTGACTGATGTCCTTGCTCTCTTGCAAAGCACAAACTCCGCAGGTGCCCTGGGCGGGTTGTGATGGTTTCCACACTTCTCTCCCTATTATCTTCATTCCTCTAGCAGCTTAACTCAGACCTTATCTCGTCTCGCAGAACTGTGTCTTTAAATTTGCAACTTGCAAGGCTGAAACGTCGAAAGGCGCAGCTAGCAGAACAAAGCCTAAAGCTGCACACTCAAAGGAATCCTGCGGTTCTCTTGCCCAGCTTCCCATAGTTGCAAATGGAGCCTGTGCAAGAGAATCACCCTGTTGGGTTGCAGACTGTCCTGCTGGTCATAAGGGTGGAAATGGTAGGCAGTCAGAAGTGATGAATCTCCAAATACCAGAGTCTTTTCAGGTTGTCAGACCTGTTGCGACAACACTGAGGGATAGAAACTTGCATTTTAAGTGTAAGACTAGAGATGCTTGGAAAATGCATCTGGCGGTGGGTGGTGAGTCTAGGAGCAATCTCTCCCCCTGGTTTGTTTTTAATTGTACTTCGCCTTGTAGTTATTTATTTCATAAAATTTATATACCGCCTGATTGTGGAAAAAGCCTCAAAGCGGTGTACCAAAAAAAAGCTAAAGCAATAACATTATCACTAAAAGATTTGCAACCGCAATTTAAAACATACAGAAAGTTTAAACCGCAGTAGAGTAGAATGAAACAAATCAAAACTCCTACAAACTTTCTGGGTAGGCTTGTCTAAATATGAACGTCTTCCGAAAATCCTGCCCATTCTCAAAGGCTCGAGGCAGGTGACCCCACTTTCAGAAGTAATGATGATGGTTTAAGGTCATTTATGTCCTGCCTTTTCCCCAAGCTGGGGTTCAAGGTATGGCTTACAGTGTTTAAAAAGGACAAGGCAACAAACTAGCTAAAAACAATCTTTAAAATGCATCAGAACACATTTAGGACCAGCAGTTCAGATCCACTTTGCCTGGACAGTAGCTGAGTGAGCAGATCCCGTCTTCTGCTCTGAGCCGGAAGGTCTCAGGCTGCCAGATGACAAAGAGGGAGCTGGGCTAGCCTCTCTTGGGAGGGAATTGCACCATTCAGATGCAGTCTCTTGTTTTTCCTCCCCCATCCCCCTGCAGGGAAAGACTAAGGTGGGAGACGGCGAGAGGTTGCCCCTGAGTTCACTCAGCTACCACATGGCCGGCGGGTACACGTGCGAAGCCTCTGTGCCCAGCGTACCTGGGCTGCAGCGGACCCAGACAGTGGAAGTCGTGGTGGAAGGTAGGCTGGTTGGGGGGCGGCGGAAGCTAAGAAAAGAATTGCCCTGCAGAATCAGGCTGATGGCCCATAATACTCGAGCATCCTTTTCTCACAGTGGAGACAACCTGAAGCCCAAGGGAAGCCTCGGAACAGGACATTTTATTTATCTGTCGTGATACATTCCTCCAAGGTGTTGTTGCTGTTATGATTAATTAAATAAATTTGTAAACCGACCTTCATCCATAGTTCTCAGGGCAGTTCACAACATAAAAATACAAGACAAAAGCACAAAATACAGAATAAAAACAACAAAGGACGCCCCCCCCCACACCAATAACCTCCACCCCCTCTCCCAAACACGTTTAAAAGGGCATCAGACGTTAATTAGCCGAAGGCCTGGTTGGAGAGGGACACTTTTGCCTGGCGCCTAAAGGTGTATAATGAAGGAGCCAGGCGGACCTCCCTGGCGAGTGCATGACACAAACAGGGAGCCACCACAGAAAAGGCCCGTTGTCATCTTGCCACCCTCCAGACCTTTTGTGGAGGAGACAAATGAGGAAGGGCCTCAGAGGAAGGTCACAGGGTCCAGGGCAGTTCATGTGGAAAGAGGCAGTCCTGGAGGTATTGCGGTCCTGAGCCTCTCAAGGTGGCATGCGTGGTTCCCCCCCACAATAACCCTGTGAGGTAGGTTTGCCTGAGAGTCAGAGATGGACCCAAGGCCACACAGTGAACATGAATCCTTTTCTCCCAGTTTCTCTTCCAACTCTCATCTGTTGCCCTTTTAAATGTGTTGTGGGAGAGGGGGGGTTATTTGGTTTGTTGTTGTTCATATTTTTACTGCGTGCTTTGTGGATTTATGTTGTAATGTTACGTCGTGAACTGCCCTGAGATCTGCAGATGAAGGGCGGCATACAAATTTAATAAGCATTAATAATATCAAACACCGCAACACGTACTGCATGAGTGACGCAGAATTCCAGTCACTGGCATTCGGGCGTTGGTTGACTTCTTGGGATAGGCTTGGGCCTACGCCTGTCTCTCAGGCCAGCCTACCTCAAAGGGTTGTCGTGGCGATAAAAATGGGAGCTCCTTGGAGAAAAGGCCAAGTTTAAGCAAATCTTGAACACAAATCTCATACATGATTCTGTGAAAGGGGGACGGGGGACAACGTTTGCTGCTGGGATTACTCTCCTTTCTTCCTTCCTTCCTTAGCAACTTTCTAGTCCCTAAGACTATGAAGACCAGCTTGAAGGTGTATAGGCCATATTAGAAGCTGACTAGAATACATAGATGGATATAATTCATTCAGTTAGTCACGGAGAGAGGCTGGTTAGCATTTTCTGTGCATGTTGCAGAATCCATCCTTTTCCTCGGCCCAGAACTTAAAAGCCTTTTGGGGGCAGGGTTCATGTGCCCCCTCCTGGTTGTCATGTCCTGACTTCCTCCTCCTTCCCAAAAACAGGAACCCCGCAAGTGGAGCAGCCCCAGTCCACACGCCATTACCAGAGCCTGGGCCAGAAACTGACCTTCACCTGTTCTGCTTTCGGCTACCCTGAGCCAGAGATCAAGTGGAGCGTCACTGGGGAAGAGGTGAGTCCAGCGGCGAAGAGCTTTGTCGCGGAAACGCAGGGGACCGGCTGGTGAGGATTGTGGAGCAATTGTAGCACCCTACAGGGGCGCTGGGGACGTGGGTGGCACTGTGGGTTAAACCACAGAGCCTAGGACTGGCCAATCAGAAGGTCGGCGGTTCGAATCCCCGCGACGGGGTGAGCTCCCGTTGCTCGGTCCCTGCTCCTGCCAACCTAGCAGTTCGAAAGCACGTCAAAGTGCAAGTAGATAAATAGGTACCACTCCAGCGGGAAGGTAAACGGCGTTTCCGTGCGCTGCTCTGGTTTGCCAGAAGCGGCTTAGTCATGCTGGCCACATGACCTGGAAGCTGTACGCCGGCTCCCTCGGCCAATAAAGCGAGATGAGCGCCGCAACCCCAGAGTCAGTCACGGTTGGACCTAACGGTCAGGGGTCCCTTTACAGGGGCGCTGGACCTTCCCCTTCACCCTCCTCTGGGCCTGAGGGCACAGAGGTTTGCAGAGTGTGTTCCTGCTGGATTTCTTGGGAGCTGGTCGGGTCTTTCTCAAATGAGGCCAGCGGTGGCAGATCAGCTTCCCCGAATATGTCAGCACAAGGGTGTGTGTGTGTGTGTGTGTGTGTGTGTGTGTGTTGGGTCTCTTCTTTTGATTCTGGGGAGCAGACAATTTGCTACCTTAGGCCAGAGGGCTTTGTTCCCACGTGGCTGGCAGCGCAGCGTGCAGCTCACCCCACAGATCACAAGGAGACCTGACAGGCCTGCTTGGGGGCCCCCTATTCAGCACCTGTGCCGCAAAACGAACCCAGATAATCCCCTGCAACGTCCTGAAGCTGAAAAGCAGGCTTGCAAGGGGTTCATTAGTGGGCGAGTCGGCGTCCGCAGGATTCCCTGCCGGAAGATGGTTCGCAAACCTCTGTTTTTAGGGGGTCCTTCTCTCCCCCACACCCTTGCCTGCTGATACCCAGCTGCTCTCAAGCTGTCAGGCTGGGGAAAGCGGACTCCCCGGGTGGCCTCTTTGTGCGCCGAGATGAACAGAGGGAGTGGGCAGGGGCTGCGAGAAGAAGCCCAAGGTCACGAGTAGACACAGAAGAGCTGTCTCTGCTGTGACTTCGCCCCAGTACGCCCCCTCACCACCAGCATGCAAGGCACACTGGGAATTGTAGTCCACAGGACAGAGCTGAGAATCCTCCCTTCGTTCTGTGAGGATTTCCATCTGTCCATCTGACTGGGTTGCTCCAGCCTATACAAAAACATAATGAAACATTAAACGTTAAAAACTCCCCTATACAGTCATACCACATGTTACGTCCGCTTCATGTTACGTTCTTTCAGGTTACATCCCGCGGCGACCCTGAAGTACCAGAAAGGGTTACTTCCAGGTTTCGTCACTCGCGCATGCACAGACGCGCAAAATGACATCACGCGCATGCGCAGAAGTGGTGAATTGCAACCCGCGCGTGCACAGACGCACCGCTGCAGGTTGCACTCTTTTCATGTTGCGAACGGGCCTCCAGAACGGATCCCGTTCGCAACCAGAGTTACCACTGTACAGGGCTGCCTTCAGATGTCTTCCATAGCTTGTATAGTTACTTATAGTTATGGAGGTTTGGGAACACATATTGGCTAAAGTAAGCTGTAGTTCTGCCCTTGGGCATCCTTGCAACAACCTTGTTAGGTAGGTCGTTATTTGTAATGAGGTCGGGTTTGGCATTGAACACGTTAACCTGGTTTTCAGCTCAGTCTCTTGGCCCCCTACTCTGCAGCAGCATTCTTGACTGCTTTCGTTGTAGCTCCTGCATGGAGTTGGGCCTCTGGCATCCCAACCCACCTGTCCAGGTAGAAACAAAGGTGAATCAGGTGTGAGGCAGAGAGCTGGGGATGGAGAGAGACTCCGTCCCATGCGAAGTGCTGCCATTCTTTGCTTCTCTCTTCCCAGCCGTCTGCGAGGACCTTTGGCAACAGAGTCGTCAGCGAATTGTCGGTGGAGGTGACCCCTGAACTGGCCCAGAACGGGGTCACGTGCTGGGCAGAGAACGAGCACGGCAAGGCCGAACAGACGTTCCTGTTACAGATGGGTGAGTGTCCACAAAGGGAAGTGCAGGACCTTTCCCCCTTTCGCTCCAGACGCCTCTGCTCATCTTTGTTCGCAGATGACTTGTAGTAAATAGTCCAAGCAGCAGCATAAACCAGGGTCCGAATTAAGCAGAATGTTCACTGCACAATTGCAATTTAACCTGCGTGGTTTTTAAAATTTAAGTGTCAGAGGAAGAGCAGGATTGCCTCCCCAAATGCGCACCACGGCCTTCTCCTCACCCCAAACTGCTACCTACCCAGAAATCACAGAATTGTAGAAGGGACCCTAATGCAGGAATCTCAACTAAAGAATCCATGATCAAAGCCTTCTCCCTCCCACACGCTGCTGTCCCAGTCCTGACAGCCGCTACTGACATCTTTAAAAGCCGGGCATGTTAAATTGCAGTCGTGCAATTAATTACATGCTCAGTTTGGCTCTCGCTTACATTGGTTCTGGGGATGCCCAAACCCTTCAGATGAGTGGAGGTTTTTGGCCCAGGTGTGGCGCTTAGTCATTTGCAGCGCTCAGGCTGCTTTCTTTCCCCCCAGGCTGGGCAGGTGTAGACAGGTTGGCAGGGAAAGGGAGCACATGGCAGTGGTTAGAGAACCACAGACATCGGTTGAGGCCACTGCAAGGGGCGTTTCCACCCCCTTTCAGTAGGTCTGCCTCTCATTCTAATTTCCTGGCGTTAAAGCTGTTGACAAATTATTAATCTTTGCATTTAAACCAGTTGTGGGGAACCTGGTGTGTGACGATGGGCCTCTCTGTGAAGGCATGCTCTCGTCATGCCTTGCTCCAGGGTCAGGAAGGGGTTTGCACTGAACCTGCTGCTAAAACTGAGAGTTCCTCTCCGTATTAGCCGGGAGTTCAATGCGCACGCCTCCCCAATTCTTGAGGAAGCTGCGCTCCCAATGCCCAATCGCCAGTTTAAAAATCGAAGCCGTCAAGTGCACAGCCTTGTGGGTAAACTGGTCCCAAGCTGATATGTGGGATAATCTTGTGAAGAGGGGTGTTGCAATTTCTGTGCAGGTTCCCTATCTTTTTGGGGGGGGGCATTTGTGCACAGGGGTTGTGGACGTTAGGGTCTGACTTGACTCCTAGACAAACCTTCCCCAATCTAGCGCCCTCCAACATTTTGGACTACAAATCCCATCAGGCCCCTAGTCCAAGACCATCGGGGGGGTGGGCACCAGGTTGGGAAATGACCCAAGGAGCCTTTTCCATGGCTGCGTGAACTCTGCACAAAGTCACAACCCAAAAATGTGCGCTTAGAAAGGCTCAGTTCTGCCACAAACTTCTTGCAAGGTGTGTGTTTACTTCTGCGAAAACATGCATAGGTCCTTCCTCTGCTAGGCCACAGATGGGGCAATACGCCTCATTCCTGGAGCAACAGAAATCATACTCAGCTTCCTCCTCCTCTCCCAGCATCTAAGATTTCGCCATATGTTGCCTGTATTCTTTCAACAGCCATCTCTCCTCCCCCCACCCCCACCTTCCCAAAAAGGGAACAAAACAAAGGTGCTTGTTTTTATTTAACTGTCCGACAAGCCCCTTGGAACGGAAAAAAACGTACAAAGCCATTTCACAACGACGCGGGGGCACTGCAGAAAAGGAGAGCCTCTCTCTTGAAAACCAAGCACTAGTGGGCCGTGCAGTTACAGAATCGTAGAGTTGGGACCCCGAGGGTCATCCAGTCCAACCCTCTGCAAGGCAAGAATCTCAGCTAAAGTATCCATGACAGATGGCCGTCCAAACTCTGCTTAGAAACCACCAAGGAAGGAGAGTCCACCAGCTCCCGAGGGAGCCCGTTCCACTGCCGAACAGCTCCTACCGTCAGAAAGTTCTTCCTGATGTTTAGTTGGAATCTCCTTCCTTGTACAGTGGTACCTCGCAAGATGAATGCCTCGCAAGACGAAAAACTCGCAAGACGAAAGAGTTTTTCGTTTTTTGAGTTGCTTCGCAAGACGAATTTCCCTATGGGCTTGCTTCGCAAGACAAAAACGTCTTGCAAGTTTGTTTCCTTTTGGATTTTCAATGCATTCCAATGGGAAACCGTGCTTCGCAAGACGAAAAATTCGCAAGACGAAAAAACTCGCAGAACGAATTAATTTCGTCTTGCGAGGCACCACTGTAACTTGAATCCGTTGGTTCGAGTCTTACCCTCTAGAGAAGGAGAAAACAAGCTTGCTCCATCCTCCATGAGATATTCCATTGAGATATTTGAAGATGGCTATCGCCTCTCAGCCTCCTCTTTCCCAGGCTAAACATGCCCAGCTCCTTCAACCATTCTTCATCAGGCCTCATTTCCAGACCCTTTTTTTTAAAAAAAAGGTTTTTTTATTAACAATTTCAACATAACAAAATATCAAAACATATCATATTCATTATTTCCCCCCCTTTTCCCCCCACTTCCCCATCGAACCCTGCCCCCCCGAGACTTCCCTCAGCTCCTCTCTCTGATTTCTCAATACATGTTATTCTCTGCATACTCTGCATAAAATTGTATAAATCCTTATATTATCTGTCTACTATGTTAACAATCAATACATCTGTGTATGTTTATTCAAAACCTGCCAAGGAGTCCAATTCATTTTGTTGTCTTTTTAAGTAATTTGTATAAAGTTCCCATTCTTCTTTGAAGTCACAGTTGTCCTTATCTCGCAGTTTGCATGTCAGTTTAGCCAGTTCTGCATAGTTCATCAATTTCTCTTGCCACTGTTCTTTTGTCGGGGTTTCCTCCTTCTTCCATCCTTGTGCTATCAAGACTCTAGGCCTGGTTTCCAGGCCCTTGATCATCTTGGTCGCCCTCCTCTGCACACCTTCCAGCTTGTCAATATCCTCCTTAAATTGTGGTGCCCAGAACCAGATGTGGGAATCTTTTGGTCCTCTGAATGATGAAAGGGATAAGGGGAAGTGGGGATTTGGGTGCAGGCTGAGCGACTGCAGACCGCAGCAAGAATTCGCCCTGTACCTTTGCTAACGTACCTGTCTCTCTTTCCAAGCAGTTGCGCCGACGACATCTGCCTCTCCTGTGCCAGCAGGTAAGTCCCTCTTTGCCTCCCTCCTTCTCCATTTTCTTCCCACCCTGCTGCCCCCAGACTCTGCACTGCTATTACAGTGGGTGGGCAGGGTGGGCAATGACAGCACAGCTTAGCAGGGTGGGCTTTCTGACAGTTCAGGTGGCTAACTGCTTTTTCCTTCTCATGCATGCTGCCTCAGGGAACCCTGAGCTCCGGACAGGTGGGTGTTTGAGGCTGAGAAGGCAGGGCAAGAGTCACATGCACAATTGCCGTATGGAAAGGGTAGAGACAGGGCCTTTTTGGTGGCGGCTCCCTGTATGCGGAACTCCCTGCCCCAAGAAATCGGGTCGCCTTCTTCTTTATTTGCATTCAGCCAAATAAAGGAAACAGCCTTAAAAATAATAACAATTCCTTTTAAACAAGCTTTCGAGTCTGTTGCTGCTTAAAGGTATCAGTTGTCTATGCTGGTCTCTGCAGTTTTCACTTTTTTGCTGCTGTTTTTAAGCTCGATAATTTATGTCTTAACAGTTGGGTCCCTTTGGCTTTTCTGCTTGCGTTGATATTCACAAGTCTCTTTGAAGGGGAAATAGTGGAATATAATCCCTTTTTTGGGGGAGTTGGGGGAGAAGCCTAATAATAATAATAATAATAATAATAATAATAATAATAATAGATCTTCTGGGTTTGACTTATTTCCACTTCTCCCTCCCCACGCGAGGGGAAAAACAGGCGAAATAAAAGAGGGAAGCCTTTCATGGAATCTCTTTCCACCGCGGAAAGATCGGAATAGATTAATTTCCCAGATGTTTTTGCTTGCAGGTTTCTTTTGCTTTCAAGTGGAATAAGGTCAGGGAAGGTTCATTGTGCGTAATTTCGGAGCTCAGAAATGCTATCCAAGTTTGAAGTAGTGCATGATTCACTCACCACAGTTTATTTCTCCCTGAGGTTTTGGGTTTTACTGTTTTTTAAAAAATCCAAGATTTCAGTGGTGTGTGTGTGTGTGTGTGTGTGTGTGTGTGTGTGTGTAAAACACACCACATGAATAGCTGTGGCCTTGTGCTGTTGGTGCCCTGTGGCTGAAACTACACCGTGGAGCGAGTTTTTCCTCAGGTTTGAGTCCCTAGCTGTTGTTGGACTACAACTCCCATCATCTCTACCTAGCAGGGGTCAGGGATGATGGGAGTTGTAGTCCAACAACAGCTTAAGAACCTGAGTTTGAGAACATGGCTAGACCTATAGAAACTGCCTTTGGCTCCTCTTCCTCCCGCACTCCAGCCCAAATTCTGAGAATTGTGGTTTTGCCCCACCTCCTTCAGAATAACAGTTCCCCATGGTTCCCTGGGGAAGATCCAGAACAGATAAAAATAAAGCGGCTCTCCACGCAGCACGGAGTTAAACTCTGGAACTCGCTGCCTCAGGAGCCAACCAACTTGGATGGCTTTAAGAGGCAAATTCATGGGGAGGATAAAGGCTACGATTGGCTACTAGCCGCGATGGCTACGCCCTGCCTCCACAGTAAGATTCCTCGTAGATTTGCTGCAAAATGTAGTTTTTATAGTGTTTGCTGTTTTAATGTTGTACACCGCCCTGATACATCACAAAATGGCGGTGTTGAAATAAATAAATAAGCAAGAGATCTACCAGCAGATCCTGATCAACGTTTGTTCATTCTTCATTCATTCCCTGACCAACCTTCTGACCTGCTTTAAATTGCCAGAACACAAAGTACCTGTTGGAATAGTAATAGAGGAACAATTAACTGTAACCCTCCTACAATTTTACGAGAAGTCATGGCGTCTTTCAAAATGGCCCTCCTGTTTGGCATTAGTAGTGAACAGAACTACAGATGATCACATGTGTGTCTGTGTGATTTCATCTAATGAGTACAGTGGTACCTCTGGTTAAGTACTTAATTCGTTCCGGAGGTCCGTTCTTAACCTGAAACTGTTCTTAACCTGAAGCACCACTTTAGCTAATAGGGCCTCCTGTTGCTGCTGCGCCGCCGGAGCACGATTTATGTTCTCATCCTGAAGCAAAGTTCGTAACCCAAGGTATTATTACTGGGTTAGCGGAGTCTGTAACCTGAAGCATATGTAACCCGAGGTACCACTGTATTTAGTTTAAATGGCATTGATATAATTGTCAGGAATGCAATTTGCTGTTCTCGTTACAAGCTGAACAACATTGTTGTTGATCTTATTAATGATAATATGTATTTCATTTATACGTATTATAACAGTAAATACATCCTTACATAGCAGCAATAAAAAAAAATGTTATCGAACAATACTGTTATTGTGGCACGTTTAACAATAGACGTTTCTCTGGTGAACCGCTCTGTGATCTTGTGATGCAGGGCTGCATATAAATCTAATACAGTGGTACTTCGGGTTAAGTATTTAATTCGTTCCGGAGGTCCGTTCTTAACCTGAAACTGTTCTTAACCTGAAGCACCACTTTAGCTAATGGGGCCTCTCGCTGCCGCCGCGCCGCTGGAGCACGATTTCTGTTCTCATCCTGAAGCAAAATTCTTAACCCGAGGTACTATTTCTGGGTTAGCGGAGTCTGTAACCTGAAGCGTATGTAACCTGAAGCGTATGTAACCCAAGGTACCACTGTAAATAATAATAGCAACAACCACAACGCTTTAAAAGCAACAACAAAGTTTTGATCTGTAGCAACAAATAAAAATGTGGGTACCGCTGTTGATATGGAATGATACCGCTGTTCAGGCGGTCCTTCCCAATCTTTGCCAGACAGAAGCAGGCTACAGGCAAGGAGGCTGGCGAAGGATCTGGTATCTGCAGGGCCTCAAACCTCCCTTCACTTTTTCTGCTTCCTTCCCTCTAACAGTGGACGGGGAACAGAGCCAGGGCGGCAGCACCGTCGCCGTGATTGCCGTGTGCGTCTGCGTCTTGCTCCTTCTCCTCATCGTGGGCTTCTTCTACTTCATGCAGCGCCGCGGTCAGCTGCCCTGCGGCGGAGGCGAGAAGAGATCTTTGTGAGTAATCATAATCATAATAAATTGCTTATACTCCGCCCAGAGCCGGGCTCAGGGCGGCTAACACCAATAAATCACAGTAAAAACATAACGGGGGGGGGGGACCCAATTTAAAATACAACTTAAAATACAGCCTCATTTTAAAAGTAGCCGATAAATCAAGACCATAAGAGGAGGGAAACGTTAGGGTCAGACTGAGTCCAAACCAAAGGCCAGACGGAACAGCTCTGTCTTGCAGGCCCTGCAGAAAGATGTCAAGTCCCGCAGGGCCCTAGTCTCTTGTGACAGAGCGTTCCACCACGTCGGGGCCACTGCTGAAAAGACCCCGGCCCTAGTTGAGACCAATCTAACCACCTTGCGACCTGGGACCTCCAGAATGTTGTCATTTGTGGAGCTTAAGGTCCTCCGCGGGGCATATCACGTACCATACCAGTAAGGCCTCGTGGGCCGCTCAAACTGCATGTATCCTACAGCCCCTTCCCCCTCTGCAGGGCTCGGCATTATTAGGGACTAGCCACAAGGCCTTCAATGTCTAGTAGCAGGGCCGGCCCATCCATGGTGACCGGCTCAGGCGGCAGGATCCACAGAGGCAATGACACGCCAAGCATTCTGGCCTCTGGTGCTCCTCATCTGCCATTGTTTGCGCCTTAGTTACACGCATGCAGTGAGTGGTGTCTGGCAAACCCCTCTGCTGCTCCTTGTTCTGTGTGTTGTGTGAAGTGCTGGGGAGGAGGAGGTTAAAGACCTCTGCCTTTCTTCCATCATGGCTGATCAGAGGAAGGGGAGAAGGCTTATGCTACAGCCCTTCACTCTTGCTAAGTCAAAACGGTGCCGCACTTTTAAAAAAAAACCTCCCTGCCAGCTCACCTAGTTTTTAGAGGAGGAAAACAGAAGGGGGGGGGGATTTTCTGAATGAAACAGTGGATGTATGATTTTTGTGGTTTATGCTGTGGCATTGATTTGACGGTGAGTTTGGGGTGACCCAATGCAAAAATCCTGAGGATCCATGTGCTTTTACCTCCCCCCTCCCAGGCAGCCTCCTTTATCTCTAGAGTCCCTTATCTCCCTCCAATCACTTGCCGATCAGCTGCTCAGTGGCTTTGTTTCAACACCCCCTTCGCTTTTGTTTGCCCTGGTGTCTTTTCCTTAGCTGGAGCAGTTTTTTGCTCCTCCTTTTCTTCTAATTTCTCTCCTCATCACTTGTTTTAGTATTCCTGTCTCCTCTCCTTGCAAGTTCACTGTCTTTACCTTCCCACTCCCAGGCAGCCTCCTTTATCTCTAGAGTCCCTTATCTTGTTCCCTGATCGCTTGCTCTTCAGCGGCTTTGTTTCAACACCCCCTTCCCTCTTTCTAAAAAAAAAAAAAGCACAACCTGCTTTTTGCCCCTGGGCAATTCGGCTCTAGGGACCACACATTTGCTCCATAAGATGCACAGACATTTCCCCTTACTTTTTAGGAAGAAAAAAGTGTGTCTTATGCAGTGAAAAATATGGTAAATGTAGACGAACCAGTGGCCTCTGGTTCCATATATGTGGGTGTTTTGTTGGCATCTGTCTGTCTTGAGAGACAACAGAGGGGTCCTTCGGGGGCAACATAAAAGCATTGCGTTAGCAGCACCTAAGTGACCTTTCCAGGGTGCAAGCCTGGGCAGTGTGCATGGAGGTCCTGGGCTGCCCCAATGACATGACCACCACCACCCCCTCGGCCTCACTGATGTGGTCCAAAGGAAAGCCGAGCAAGACACTGGGCAGCAGCTGAGCTGCAGGAGTTACTGGAAGGAGGCGTACAAGACTCCATCCAACCACCCTAGTGTTTCCACTCCGGGTTTACTGCTTAGCCCTTTCTTAGCCAGTGTGGTGTAGTGGTTAAGAGCGATAGACTCATAATCTGGTGAACCTGGTTCACGTCTCCGCTCCTCCACATGCAGCTGCTGGGTGACCTTGGGCTAGTCCCACTTCTCTCAAGTCTCTTGGCCTCACTCACCTCACAGAGTGTTTGTTGTGGGGGAGGAAGGGAAAGGAGATTGTTAGCCGCTTTGAGACTCCTTCGGGTAGTGAAAGGCGGGATATCAAGTCCAAACTCCTCCTCCTCTTCTTCTTCTTTGTCCAAACTCCTCTTCCTCCTTCTCCTCCTCCTCCTCTTCTTCTTCTTCTTCTGCTTCTTTTTCATCCAAACTCCTCCTTCCCTTAGATGGGCTACCTTCCAAGGTGGCCCTAGATAGATAGATAGATAGATAGATAGATAGACAGATAGATAGATAGATAGATAGATAGATATAGATAGATAGATCGATGTAATTTTTTTATATGTAAATCTTCGCCAGCCTTCCCTGGGCTGCAGAGCCATAAATGGATGAAGGATTGTGGAGTTGTGCTGGGTGGGGTGGGTTCGGGGAGAGGCTGGATGTAACCGTACCCTGTTGGCTTTCGTGGCCACCTGTTCCCGGAATGCGGCGCTCAGATATATCTGTTTCCTCCTCTCGCCAGGACCCCCAAGGAAGGGAACCCTGACGACACTGTGGTGGAGATGAAGACGGACAAACGGAACGAGCAGACGGGGCTCTTGAGCCCTGGGGGCGGCGGTGGCGGTGGGGCAAATGAGGTGAGGAACGGAGGAGAAGGCGGAAGGCGGTAACCCTGCTCTCACTGAGCTTGGGGCAAGGGATTCTCCCTGTTTCTTGAGGGTGCCAGGAATCGTAGCTCCACAAAGGCAGTTTCCCACTCCTTTTGCAGACCTGGGGCAAAGAAGAAGCGTTTCTGGGGCCTGCTTTGAGGAACAGGGCTGCATACATCTATTTAAAGCACATTTAAAACTTTGAGCCCCTAACACAAAGGTGGGGTGAGGGGTGGTGGATGGTGATGGGAAAGGGAATTATCTGTGGGATTGAGTGTAGGTATATTTGAACATTTTTAAGGATTGTATGAATTGTATGTTTGTATATTCGCAATATGTGTGTATTAATGCTGAATTATTTTAACAATAAAAACTTTTCAAAAACAAAACAAAAAACAAAAACTTTGGGCCCCACGTTGGGCAAAAGATTCCTGCATTGCAGAGGCTTGGGGGGTCCCTTCCAACTCTGTGATTCCATGAAAACATATTCTGCCCCCCGAGAATCCTGGAAACGGTGGTTTGCTATTGGGAATTGTAACACAGCGAGGGCTAAGCTACTGTTTCCAGGATTTCCCTGGTGTGGGGATGTGCTTTCAAACGCATGGTTACAGCCCATGTCTCTGTGGCAGGACTGCAATGGGTCCCCTAGGGAGAAGGCTGGGGGGTGGAGCTGAGGGAAAAGTCTGGGGTGCCGACTCCCTGTTTCATTCTCCCTCTCTCTCCAATCCTGTCTCCCTGCAGTGCTGAGAGCAAGCCTGGAGTGGCCTTCTTCCGGAGGATCTGCCTCTTGCCTGCTCTGTACCACACAAACCACGGGGCAAAAAGGACGTCAGGGCTGGACTGTGCGAGGGGAACCCGGTCCCTCCGGGGCCCTTCCTTCTCCGAGGGCAGGGGAGCATCCTTCCTTGCGTCTGGACTTCTTTTATTTTGTGCAAATGGGGTGAGGTGAGGGGGTTGTGCTGCCGCTACTACTTCTTCCGCCTTGAAACGCCTGATTGTTATTATTGTTCTTGTAATTATTTTTGAAGAAACTGACACTTGCCTGGACCCCTCTGGCGTGAGTAGATGTGCCATCGACACACAGGCCTCTGTCTCTCCACACACCGGTTTGCCTCTTGCTGACTTGCGCACCTGAACCAAGCCCACACGTGCACTTACGTCCTGAACACGGAAACACGGCCTTGGAAGAAAATTCACACAAGCTGACTGGCCCCTTTCTTCTGGCACACGACTGTTAGCCACTTGTGGTCTGAAAGGACCTGCTTTTTGTAAACCTTCCCACCCCCCACCCCCCGTCCTGCTTAGTCGCTTGGAGGCGATTCTCGCTCGCCGTAGGTGACCAGGCTAGCAGTGTCTGTCTTTCGCCGTTGGGCAAAGACATGTGGACACCTATATTCCTGCAAACACTTCTTTATCCTCCAAGTGAAGCATGCAATGTGAGTGAACACATACAGGCACACCCTTGTTACTCCGCGCATCCACACCCCCACACCCGTTGAGAGCGTGCTTGTCGGGAAGTCGTGCGAAAACTTGCAAAGTTGACATGCTCCCCACATGCATGTGAATGTGTTCCATCCATACATTAACATGTTCGTGTGTATATATGCACCCAAGGCTTTGCAAATTACGTGTGGGCATCGTAGCTGAGTATTAATTTCTACTAGACAGCCCCGAAGTCCATTCCACAATAATGGCACAAACAGCATCCTATGCATTTATCAGCACAGAAACTGTCTGATGAAGTGATATCTCTCAGGCTGCAATTCTGTATGTACTAAGCTCCATTTATCTCAATAATGCTTGCTTCTGAGTAGATCATGCGGTCACGCTTTTATCTAGGTTGACAAACACATGGCATCTTTCTTTCTTTTTTAATTTCCTTTCAAGTTGTGATTCCATCCACAGCTTCTGCCTGTTTTTGTCCCCTTCAGATTCATAGGGTTGTTCTTCACACACACACACACACACACACTCTTATTTTCTGGCACCAAACCTCAAAATACAGGAAAGCGTTGGGTTTGGCTAATCAGTTACTTGTTTTTAATTTTCTGACTGAGGTGTTTTAGTACAAAATTGAAGAGCGGAGGGGCAGTTTTTGAAAGAGGACTTCTAAGGCCGCTTGAAAACCAAATCTTTTTTTGGTGGCCTGACTGCAGGATCTACCTGGGGAGTTTGTTCCTTTGAAGTCAGCAGTAAAACTAGTTCGATACCCAGCTTTAAGAGAGTCCATCTTCATCCAGCCAAGGTTCAGCTTTCATTTAGGAATGTGTACAATCTCACAAAGAGGTGTTTATTCTATTTAAACTGCTGGCCTGAAGTAGAAATCCCATCAGTTAAGAAAACAATTTCCCTTCTCTTAATGAGTGCAAGCAAGGATCTCTGACTCTGCTGTCCTGCTTGCTCAACCACCCTCCTGTTTTTAGTTCTGGATTCTTGGCTTGACACAGCTGATCTGCATAGATAAGAACAAGCATTGCCCTACAGAGAAAATCTCTCTGCTCCATACATTTTTTTTTTTGAAATGCAGCGAATATGTCACGGACAGTAGTAGAATTTGAAAGCCTCGTTATCACTTAGTCGTAGAATTTGAAAGCCTCGTTATCACTTGCCAGAGGGAGAGCCTTTTGCCACAATTACTCTGCTGTGTGGTTTTATGGAAGCCTTATGCATGTGTGCCTACACACAGACACACAAACACACGTGTGTGCTCACCCCCATAATAAAAACAGCTGCCACCCACATACATTTCCAGTTCGTAAGTATATTTTCTAGCACATTCACAAGCCACTGATGGGCATATTAGAACAACCAACCTCTGGAACCAGGCCTCTGCAGCTACCCCTTTTAAACAACCGTTAGTTTTGCAGCAACAAGCAAAGGAGAGCATTTAGGGCACCATGCCATGGAAAAAAATAGAAGAAAAGCTTTGCTTGCAGATTTCTCCTGCAGATCAATACTCCGTTGCAGCAGCCCAGGCCGGTTTGGGTGTGCTTGTTCCCCTGCCGTAGTTACACGGCTGGCAACCTTGCAGCATGCCGGTGCCAGATAAAGCATGCCAGCAAACACACCCACCCACCCAATGCGGAATAGGCGCACAGGTTCCCAATAAGTTGCGTCAGGATCTTGCTTTTTTAAAATCTCTGTTCCCGGAGGCTGGCTAATGGAGAGCGCTTCCCTCCCTCTCTGCGTCTCCCTATGCAAAATGCTTCCATCCCTAAAGGCAACCTTACGTCCTGCAGGGGTTTGACGGCGGGCCCTTGCCACCAGAGATAGTGTGGCTTCTAGGCAGCTTTCGACTGCCGCCATCTTTCTCGCAGATTCAGCAGCAAATCTGTGCCTGCATTTCCTCCTCTGTGTACACATCCACACACCACTTCTGACGAGTGAGAAACCCGTGGTTCCCTGGGATTTCAGCTCCCATCATCTCCAGCCAGGGATGATGGGCCTTGGAGGGCTACAGCCTCACCCTGCCTTAACGTTTTTCCACGCACGATGAAAAAAGCCACGGCAGCTGGAGAATGGGCAACCTGCCCCTAAACACCTGAGTCTTACCACTAGGCAGCCACATCCATTTCGTCTCCGTCCGTGCTCTCGTCGTTCACCACCCCTACCTACAGGGTGCGTCCTGATTTCCTTCATTGAAATGCATTGGGTTGTGTGTGTTGCTGTTGTTTTTTTTTAAAAAATGGCATTTATTATCCGTCTGTACGGGACAAGCCTTTTGGAGTTCTAGTCTTCCTACTCTCCCCTGACCCCCCGACGGCTCGTGTCCTTTCTCTGTCTCTTGCACTGTCTTGTCGAGACACTGGCTCTGTTTTGGGTGGGTGGGTGTGGGGAGACTTGGGGCTTTAAAAAAAAATGTAGTGTATTTAATGGTGTTGCATCTTAGAGAGCAAGGTGAGGCTGCTGAGCTATGGCAGAGCCCAGGGTGGAGGTGTGGGAGAAGGCAGCAGTGAGGGCAGTATTCTGGCTACTGAGCTTTAACCATCCTTGCAAGAAACGAAGGTGGGGTTTTTCCATAACTCCCCTCCCAGTATGGCAGCTGCAAGACTCCTTGGCGACCCCTTCTTCATGCCCTTCCCCACATTTTCCTAGCGAGGGATGGTGTTGTGTCTCTCTTAAACACAGCCCACTATCCCAGACTGCCCCCTCGTTACACCCCTCCTTGTTTCATGACCACTTTTTACTTGTGCCTGCTGCTGTTTTTAGGTTTTGCCACCTTTTAAACAAACAAAAAAACGAAACAGATACCTGACTCTACCTTCCACAGCTGTTTGATCTGCAAGCTGCTAGCAGGAAAGACTGCAGTGAAAAGTTTCACCTGCCATTCTCCACCCCATCCACCCACAGACTTAAGTTTACTGCAAAAACCACGCAGGAGTAGGTCAGTTGGCAAACGCAGCCACCTGCCACCCCTCTCTCAGCTCCTGCCATAGCTCCAGCTTCTCACTCCCCATCCCTTCGGATGTCTCTGTTACCTGCTGCCCCCCCCCCAACTGGGTTACACTGTACATTAGCAAATAAAAAATATTGTAACCTCAGTTTGGCTCCGGCGTTCGTTTCTTCTCCCTGCAGACCTTGTGCCCCTTCCTCTAAAGTCCCCCTTTTAAACGGGATTTAAAAAAAATGCAACCTCTCTCATCTGGGACGTACCATTTGGAGTCGCCCCTAGTTGTGGACGGAGCAAAAAATTCTGTTGGCATTGGCTTTGGAGATGTTAAGGCTTCCTTCCTCCTGGGAAGGAAACTTCAGCTGGGAGTGGGAGTGAGTTTATGTTTTGTTTTGTTTTGTTTTGTTTTGTTCTTCTCCCTGCAAGGTGCTCGTGGTCGGGTTTGACCTTCTGCCTTGCGTGGCCTGCTTATTTTTGGCCCTGGATTCCCACGATGCACTGCTGTTGTGGAAAACGCCGAAAGCGCAGGCTTGAGATCTCTTGAGCAGTGGAATGAGGGACGCTTGATATTTGTTAAGAGATCCTCCTTTAGTAGGGCAGATCCCTACTTTTAAAGCACATGACTCTTCCCCCCCCCCCCCCAATATCAAAGAATCCCAGGAACTGTGGTTTGTTAAGAGTGCTGGGAACTGTAGTTCTGGGAGGGGGAAACTACAATTCCTGGGATTCTTTGGGGAAAGTTGTGTGCTTCAAATGTGCATTGGGTGTGTCTCTTCTATTTCTCTCTATCTTTGGCAATCCCTCGTAGCCGAGTAAGATTGTCTCCCATAAACACAGTTTTAACAGTGAGTCCGTAAGTGATGTGGAGGCCAATTCTGGATCCACACGTCCTTCCACAGTGGGCACATTGGTTTCCGGGCAGGAGTTGATCACGGTGTGGATTTGCCAAGCGTGCCTTCCTCCTAGCACGTTTCTCCCTTTCGTCCTGAGTTTGAGCGTCTTCAAAGCCCACAACACCTTTGGTCAAGGCTGTTCTCCAATTAGAGCACTCGCAGGCCAGTGTTTCCCAGTTGTCGGTGTTTATACTACATTTTTTTTAGATTTGCCTTGAGAGAGTCTTTGAACTTCTTTTGTTGACCACCAGCATTATGCTTTCCATTTTTAAGCTCAGAATACAGTACAGTGGTACCTCAGGTTAAGTACTTAATTCATTCCAGAGGTCCGTTCTTAACCTGAAACTGTTCTTAACCTGAAGCACCACTTTAGCTAATTGGGCCTCCTGCTGCCGCTGCACCGCCGGAGCACGATTTCTGTTCTTATCCTGAAGCAAAGTTCTTAACCCGAGGTAATAGTCACATAGGATGTCACATAGAGGAGGGAGAAAGGTTGTTTTCTGCTGCTCCAGAGAAGCAGACACAGAGCAATGGATCCAAACTACAAGAAAGAAGATTCCACCTAAACATTAGGAAGAACTTCCTGACACTAAGAGCTGTTCGGCAGTGGAATTTGCTGCCAAGGAGTGTGATGGAGTCTCCTTCTTTGGAGGTCTTTAAGCAGAGGCTTGACAACCATATGTCAGGAGTGCTCTGATGGTGTTTCCTGCTTGGCAGGGGGTTGGACTCGATGGCCCTTGTGGTCTCTTCCAACTCTATGATTCTATGATTCTATGATTCTAATATATCTGGGTTAGCGGAGTCTGTAACCTGAAGCGTATGTAACCCGAGGTACCACTGTAGTTGCTTTGGAAGATGATAATCAGGCATCTGCACAACATGACCAGTCCAACGAAGTTGAAGTTGAAGAATCATTGCTTCAACACTGGTATCTTTGCTTCTTCCAGGACACTGGCATTAGTTGCCTGTCTTCCCAAGTGATATGTAAAATTTTTTGGGAGACACAATTGATGGAATCTTTTGAGGAGTTGGAGATGGCGTTTATAAGTGGTCAGTGTTTGACAAGCATACAGTCAGGTTGTTAGTACAGTAGCTTTGTGAACATGCATTTTGTTTTCCCTGCAAATGTCCCGGTCCTCAAACACTCTTCACTTCAATCAGGAAAAAGCTGCACTTGCAGAGCTCAGGCGAAAAGCAAAGTCATTGCTTTGACTTCAATAGCACCTCATCCCACAAGATGAAGCTTTACAGGTGAATCTTTACCTAGCATGGCACTAAGTCATGGGGCAGGTGTTGCCAAGAAAGGTTGCTCAATTAGACAAGGACCCAACTTGGTTGAGTGCTGCTTGCAATAATCTCAGTAACAGACAGACGCTAAGTGGTCCATTGGAAATTCAGCACCAGCCAGAAATTATCAGCTGGAAGCATCTGTCTTATATATTCGAATGGGAGGAGTACAAGTGTAAAAAGGTTCATAGAACCATAGAATTCTACAGTTGGAAATTACCACAAGGCTCGTCTAATCCAACTCCCTGCAATACAGGAATCTTTTGCCTAGCTTGGAGCTTGAACCCACGACCCTCAATTAAGAATCTTGTGCTCTGCCGACTAAGCTATCCCAGGCAATTATAAGATCATTGTATAATCTTAGACGGAGGCATGGCTGTGAATATCGGGAAGGAATCCTGCCCTTCTGAGTTTACCGTTACACTACCGGCAAAGAAGGAAGGTCGCTATAGGCAGAGATTGGTGAAACTTGCTTTGGGGGTGAGCAGCAGAAACACATACATAAATATGTAAACCACATGTCTGAAACCCCACAGAAAAAAAGTCCTGAACAAATTGACCTCAAATATTTCTCTGCAAGGTCAAAGTGGGAAACCTCCCCATTGTCTCTTTCCTCACAAATCCTGTCTTAAGGGCACATTTAAGATATGAATAGGGTGTGAGCTTGTGACCTGGCTCAGGAACGAAGTATTTATCATTACAAAAGACTGGCCAGGCTCCCCAGGCAGTCCAATCAAGTGACCATTAAACAGGTAACCTGCCAGACAGGAAATAAACAACGCACTCAGATTTCTGTTGTAGACCGCCTTTTCTGTGATGTATGTATGATGCTTCTGGGGGTGGTCTTGGACTCGAGGGTGGGCAATTTTAAATGTCTATATAAGGGCAGGCACGCTTTTGTTAGGGGTTCCTCCTCCTTTCTCCTGTCTGTGAGGGGGCACCCTGTTGCAATAGTTGAATAAAGATCGAGCTTACTAGCTGCTTTGCTTCTCAATATTCTCTGGTTGGCCTCTGTTATTTTTTCCTACCGATAGAGAACCTACAAAGGACTCTACAAGGGCTCTTATCTACCCCATAAGGGAATAAGGGCAGATTTTGTTTATTACAGAAGGAAGCAGCAATGAAAGGAGGGTTAGATTTCTTTCAGCAGAAAGAAAACTGGGAAGAGAGGAGCTCCACACCTCCCGGAGCTCCAGAGGTTCCTTTCTGCTAGTGGTTTGCCTTGGTGCAAGCTAAGGACAGGGCCAGGCTGGGCAAAGTGCAGGATTGAGAGCCCAGGAACCCACAGAAACAGAAGGAGGAAACTTTTTTTTCCTTTCCAGAGGCCTTTGGCAGCTCCTGTTGCTGCTGCCGGTCTGAACAGCTGCCAAGGTTCCTTCTCAGGAAGCAGGGATTTGCCTGCGGAGACCTGAACAAAGGAGAAAACGTAAGCCGGGACTGGGAGGGGAAGCCTAGGGGATGCATTGGCTTGAAATGCCCAGCCATGTTCCGTAGGCGCCTGGTAGACAGTGACATTTGGGGGCTGCAAGAGCTTGCCCCATTCTTGCCTTGCCTTGCATTTATATCTCACCTCCGTCTCCAAGGAAATCTCCCCCTCCTCATTTAATCCCCTGTGAGGTAGGTTAGGCTGACTGGCACAAGATCGCCATTTGAGCTTCATGGCTGAGTGGGAATTTGAATCCTGGTCTCTTTTAAGAGTCTGACACTAGTCTAAACGCTGTATCTCACTGCTACTCTTAATGCAAGGGAAAGCCCCAGTTACAGGAGGCTGCCGGTTTGAGTCGACGTCTGTCAGGGGGAGACATGCCTGCTGTTAAATTCTGGCAATGGTCCCTGCTCAAAATCTTCCCCAGCTGTTTCCCCATCCATTGGGGGAGTGAGGGAGATAAAGAAAAGGCAACCAGAGGAGGTTATGAACGGAAGACCCTGGAGGGGACAGGGTTAAGCAGCCCGGACTCTCAGTGTGCTGTAGGACAGGCATGGCCAAACTTGGTCCTCCAGCTGTTTGGGGACTACAACTCCCATCATCCCTAGCTAACAGGACCAGTGGTCAGGGATGATGGGAATCGTAGTTCCAAAACAGCTGGAGGACCAAGATTGGTCATGCCTGCTGTAGGAGATGGAATGGGTGAGGGAACTACAGGCCACTTGAGATTGTTGGACTCCAGTTCCCATCATCTCTTGCTATTGGCAGTGCTCTCTGAGCCTGATGGGAGCTGGAGTCAGTCAAGCACACAGATGGCCAGAAATCTTCACAGCAGAAGTAGGGGACCATTTTTTCAACCTGAGCAACCTTTAAGAGGCTGGAGGAGGGGGGGAAATGTTTGGGGCAATGGATGCTTTTCTACAGTCGGTGACTTTCCAACCATGCAAAAGGCAGATTTTGAGACAGCCCCTCTCTGTCCTCCATTAGGCATTGCCGCAGTTCCCGGGCACATTCTAGCCAGTCGAAAGCATTTCAGGAGAGGCCAGAGCAGCGCCACTGAGGGCTGCTATACTCTGAGGAAGTGCCATGGCCTGAGGGCCACATAGGGAGTCCTAGAGGGCCCTGGGGCATGCCCTTCCCCATCCCTGCTTTGCAAGGAGTTCCCACCCCAGCGCTTTGGTTCTTGCCATATCAAAGGAGGACCAGAGCAGTCAAAACATGATTGCCCATCACAGGTTAGAAATGGCCTATCTCTTCTGCTTTGGGGCCCCACAGTCGACTGCCTGTTAGGACTTCAAAGGGAGGTTGTGACCTTCATGCATGTGTGAACATGTTCGGAGGTCCCAACTAGCCTTCCTGTGGTTAGAACAGGGGTGGGATAAAACGTGGATTCCAGAGCTGGATCTGTCTATGCCAAGGCCAGCCGCCACGACTGTACACGCCTTCCCAAAAGTGTATTGGACTCTCCCATCTTTTGCACCTCTTCCGCAGCGACTCTCTCAGTCTCTGGAAGACTCATAAGCTGCTAATTAGAGCAGTTCCTTCCTGCCTTCTTGGTCAGACATCCTTCCTTACTCCCTTGACTCCCCACACGCCCTTTTTGCTTTTAACTCATTAGCAATTCTCCCTGTTTTTTTCCAAGGAATGTCCAGGGGCATTCGCCTGCCCCAACTCAGCCTGTTCTGCTCAGGGACGCCAAATTTCTTCCTGGTCTTGGCTCCTGTGCTCTTAAAACCAACCAAGTTTTTCTCTAAACTCTGGGTAAGAGGAGGCTGTGAACCGGGAGTGCATCTGGTAAGATGGTGAGATGGAAACATTGGTGCCAACTCCCCGGGGTTCTGGGTGGCCCAGCACCCACAAAATTCCCCATGAAGGGGCCAGGCACCCACAAATTTCAGGGCCATGCGGGCTTGCATGGCACCCACGACCCCAGGCACTCATGGCCGCGGGGCCAAGTTGGCACCCCTGACTGGAAAGGACCCCCCTCCCTGGCTAGCCGCTGTCTGAGCCAAACCACCACCACCAGGGAGTTTCTGAGAATGAAAAGACTTGACATTGGAGATCATTGGCCAGCATCTTTGCAACTCTGTGTTGCTGGGCCTGTGAAGAGAGACAGCAATCACAGTGCCCTTGGTTCCTTACCCTTGCTGTAAATCTGGGGAATTATCGTGTGGGTTGTTGTTTGTTTCTTTTTGCAAAATTAATAAAAAATGCATGCATCAACAAGTTTGCACCTCTGCAACCAGCTTTCTAGGTGGTCTTGCTTAGGGCAATTGCTGTCAATCAGGCCCCTCCTTGCCCTATGGGGATAATAGCAGTGGCACAACCTACAGGCCCTGTTTTGCAATAATTTAGGAGAATACGCACAGGCTGAGGATTAATCCCTCAGAAGGGAAAAAGCGTTGCTGGGGGGTTGCAAGGAGACAGTGGTTCTGAGTACTTTTCTCCAGCTCAGCTGAGGAAGAGGGTTTCTAATAGTAATATATGCCTTGTCAGCATATAACACCTGTGCTCAGAGATCTACCTTGGTTACAATCTGCTACCCGGCCAGGTTTTAGGTGCTACTATTAGTATCTATGGTGCTGGAGGAGACTCTTGAGAGTCCCATGGACTGCAAGAAGATCAAACCTCTCCATCCTTAAGGAAATCAGCCCTGAGTGCTCACTGGAAGGACAGATCCTGAAGCTGAGGCTCCAATACTTTGGCCACCTCATGAGAAGAGAAGACTCCCTGGAAAAGACCCTGATGCTGGGAAAGATTGAGGGCACAAGGAGAAGGGGACGACAGAGGACAAGATGGTTGGACAGTGTTCTCGAAGCTACCAGCATGAGTTTGACCAAACTGCGGGAGGCAGTGGAAGACAGGAGTGCCTGGCGTGCTCTGGTCCATGGGGTCATGAAGAGTTGGACACGACTAAACGACTAAACAACAACATTAGTATCTAAAGCCCTTGGGACCAGATTACCTATGAGATCACCTCACCCCACCTCAGGCCACTTGGCTGGACCTGCTGAATTCCTGCCTGCTGTGTATCTGTTAAAGACACGGGGGAGAGGGAGTTGGGAGTCCCCTTTCTGACCTGGAATCCTTTCTGGCTCAAAAACCCTTAAGAGGTGAGGGTTGTATGTGACTACTCGGAATAGCACTCTGTACACGCTCAAATGAACTGATGCTCTAGTGCTGAATGATTGAAACTGAGAAGAGCAAGCTGGGAGGCTAGGTCTCGAGGGCGTTCCTTGATTTCGTTTAAGCCTCCTGCTCACAAAAATCTGGGGGGAAGAGAGACAAGGCTTAAACATGAAGCTTTCTTTGTGTTTTACATGTACCTAAAAATCCTCTGGGGAGCCAGAAGCTAGTAAATAATGTAGGGACGTTTATGATCTCAGTTTTACAGTGTTCAATAATGCAGTGTGTGTAATCTGCAATTTGAGACCCTGAAAGCATTGTGGAAAAAATTTGTGTGTGTGTGTGCCAGAAAACGAGCAAGTGTCTGTGTGACACAGAAATCTTTCGTAGGGCAAAAGACAGCCACACCTCTTAATTTATGGTTGGTAGCATTGCACACACAGTTCAACAGGTTCGGAATTCAACAGCATGGAGTGGGCAACGAAAGCTCGACTTGTTGGATTTCTGCCTGCCATGGGGAAGAAAAAATGAGAGAATGGAAGAAGGGTGGTGGATGGAAACTCTGTCACTTCCTGAACTCTATAGGTGGTCCCTGACTGGATGTGTTACAGCTTCCTATCTGGCTCTGTCCTGTACCGATATCGTTCAGCTAGCTAAGTCAGAGAGACACAATCGTGGCTGGCAACTTACTTTGGAAATAATGGTTGAACAGGTATGTGTGTGGGAGACCGTGGTAGAAGGACACATGCTTAGCATGCAGAAGGACTCAGCCCCCATCATCAACA